AAATATTATAAATATGTAGTTACGACTAAAGTACCAAAAAAGAATGTTTAACGTAATATATTTTAAAACCGCTTTTATACCAGCAAACGGGCTTATTAAAAACTTCCCGCTTTACAAATTTAAAACATTTAAAGTTGCTTTAAAGTTATACGATTTTTAAAAACGGGTTGGCAAATTTAATACGCAGTTAAAAACTTTGGAATAAATACCAAAAGCATATAACGTTTGCATAAAAGCATAACGCAAATTCCTTTTATTAATTAATATAAAGCATGCCGGTTTTAAATAACAAAACGGCATTTAATTATAACGCGTGCAACTTTTAAAAGCGCTATACCTTTTTTTTGTTTATTTTTCCTTTCCATTTTAATTTTAGCCTTTACCCATTATTTGGTAAATAAAAGTATTTTTATAAAAAAAATAGCCCCAAATTATTGCGGTTTTAATGCCACTTTTTTAACCTTTTTCGTTATTATTACTATTTTCTTTTTTTTTAAAATTAAGCTACGAAAAGCAAAATTACTTTAACGGAAAGCTTTTTTATTCTTTTTTTTAGCTTTATCCTTTTGTTTATTGCCCGGTTTTGGGTAAGGCTCGAAAAAATAGCTTACTATTTTTTTAAGCTTTTTAATTTTAAAGCGAAAATTACCCAAAAGCTTTTTTTGGAATAAAGTAATTGCAATGCGCAATTAAGGCAAAAAAGGGAAAGGGTTGCAACGGTAATTGCTTTAAGCATATTAAATATACCGTAAAATATAACCATTCCAAAAAAAGCGCGCCATAAGCTTGTTGCTGCAAAAGCCCCAAAATTTTATTAAAAAGATTTTGGTGCATTTATTGCATGGGACCGCGTAAGAAATAATATTATCGGAAAAATTAATTAAAACGTTCCCGTTAAAAAAAAATTAACGGTTTTGCTAAAAGGAAAGGCCAAATAGCATTTTTTTAAGGATTAAAACGGAAAGGAAAGGGGTAATTAGCATAAAACCCGCGAAAACGGCTAAAAACGAATTAATTTAGCTATTTACCTTTGTTTTTTTATTTGCTTTGCGCTTTCGGGTATTGGGAAAAACGATAAGCCTATTGTTATTATCGTTATTTTTTTAAACGAACCAATTAACGAATTTATCGAAATTAAAATCGATTTTAATCGTTTAACGAATAGGCCAATTAAGCCCGAAACTTTTGCTTAATTTAACCGAAATTTAAAAAGTACCGGTCGGGTTAAATTAAAAATTAAAACGAAAGGTGCAAAAAGTAACAAAAATAATTAAAAATTCGAAAACGGTTACGGCAATATTAATTAAAGTTTAAATTAAAAAACGGTGCAAAGCTTTTATTCGTTTAGCATAATAAGCCCAATTAGCTTTAACCCGTTTAGCGCTTTCGGCAAACGCATGCGCTTTTATCGTTTTAATTGTTTAAGCGTTATTTTAGGCCTTTTTACGGGCAATTTGTTACTTTTGCGCGTTTTTTGTATTTCGTTGCTTATCCTTTTCCGCGGGAAATTTACTTTTTTTTTGCTTATCCTTTTCGGTTTGCTAGGTTTTTTTTTTTTTTAAATAATGCTTTTTCCGTTTATTTAATTTTAATTATTAAAATAGCCATAACCGTTTGCAAATTTGCATTATACGCGCATAAAACGAAATTAACGAAAGTGCAATAAATTGGTAAAAAAGCAAAAAGCTATAACTTATTTTTTTAAATTTAAGCTTGGTTAAGCTTTTTGCGCTTAACGCGCTTTTAAACGATTGTACGCGTTATTTTATTACTAGCAATACCCATTTTCCAACCAATTTGTTAATACCGTATAACGCTTTTAAAATATTACGCCGCCGCGCAAAGCACTTACAATTGCTTATTTTTGCTTTTGCAAAAATTTTTGTATTAGCAAAGGTTTAAACGATAAAAACGAAAGCGTAGGAATTTACGGATTAGTAAAGAAATGGTAATAAAAAGGAAAAAAAAAAAGGCCGGAACGAAATGGGAAAAAAAAGGTTTTAATTGTTACGCTTACCTTTTTCCGGTAATGGCTAAAGCATTTATTTCGTTACTTTTTATGGTTAAAGCATTTATTTCGTTGCTTTTGGCAGCGGAAAACGCTTGTTTCGTTACTTTTCGAAGTTAATGCGCTTTTACGGTTACCCTTTAAAAAAAAAACGTTTGCTTCGTTACTTTTTAAAGCTAATGCGCTTTTACAATTAACCTTTAAAAGCGCGGTAAGCTTTTAAATCCCATGCTATTAACATAGCAACCAATTTCCTTTTGTTTTATTTACAAACAACCCAAAAAGCTTGCTTAAAGGGTATGTTACAAAATAAATAGTATATATTGTTATAAAAAAGCTTTAAACATAAATATTAAATGCTTAAGGCATTGGAAAAGCGGTCCTTTTGCTTGGAAGCGTATAACGCTTCCAAGCGTTAGGAAGGAAGCTTAGTAAGCAAAGAGGATAGGGAATTACGTGTATATAAAAGGGCAGAGGCCTTTACGGGACCTTGCACTTTAAATCCTTTCTTCTTTAAAGCATATTAACCGGAATAGCCTCGAACCGTGCCTATCCCTTCTACCTGCAACAAGTAGCAAATAAGTAAGCGGCATTTTTTTAATTGTTACTTTTAGCGTTTTTTAACTAATTTACTGCATTATGCTAGCAATTAATACCTGGCCCGTAAATGAAAAACCCGTGCAATTTAGTACGTATAAAAACGTATATTTACGCAAATAAAATATTTGCGAAAGTTGGGTTACTTTTTTGTAAAGCGTACCAGCCGTACGCTTGCAAAGGTAAATGCAAAAGTTAAAGCTTTATTGCAAATCATTTTAAACCAAATACAATATTATAGCTTACTGTTACGGCCAATAACCACCACCTAAGAAACAGGGAAGGGTAGCTGCAAAAAAGGGCCGAGGGGATTAAAGTTACAAGACAGGAAAGTTACGTAATCTCGAAATCGACGGATTAGCGGTGCTAAGCCACTAATTCAAAGGCTCAGCAGGGTTAGTTGCCAAAACTTACTAATTCCGGCCTATTCGCTAAGCAACATTACGGATTCTTAAGGTATAAAAAGGAAAGGTTTCCTTTGTTTTAAATAGTTTTTAACAAATGCACCACCACTAATTAATTTAAATTAGCTTTTAAGTAACCCTTAAAGCAAGCATTTAAACCGCACTTAAATTACTTTGTAAATCCCTTCAAATTGTCAAATTACGTGCTATTGCTCGGTACTCCTTAAATGCCTTATTTTAAAAGCAAAGGCTTAACTGTAACACTTACCGTTAATTACCGCTTATTTACCGCCGCTTAAACAGTTTAAATTCGAGCTTAGCACTTTAATGTTTACCTTTTTCCAGTTATTATTTTTTTCCCGCCGCAAGCGGCTAGCTTGTAAAGTTTTAATTTCGCGCTAAAAGCGTTATTTTATAGCTTTTTAATAACCGTTTTTAAACGAGGTTCTACTTTCCCGCTTATTAAAAATATTATACTTCAACCTTTTAAAGGTGCGGGAGCAAACCACACCATTAACGCGTTACTTACGAAGAAGACGCGGAGGCGCAAAAACCTCGAAGGGAAAGAGTTTTCACCTTGCCTTACACTAAACAGCTATTGGCTGGAGGCATGGTTTTTACCTTCATGTAGTTAACCCGATCTGTAAAGCTCCCCATGAGCAATATAGCTCGAAAGGGGTAAATAAATATATATATATATATATATACTTCGACCTTTTTTTATAATTATTCCAGCGTTAGCAATAAATGTTACAGCGTATAAAAATAGTTTAATTTATAACCCGCGCGTGCAAAAAAAAAGGAACGGCGCTAATAAAAGTTTGTTAAATGTTATTAATAATTATTGCAAAAGCAATGCATTTTGTTAACCGTTTGCTTTTTAAATTAAAATTTGTAAAAAATAAAGCTTAAAAACGATTATTTAAATTTATTGCACGAAATACGCTTCCGCCGTAGCTTTACTAACCGGGCGGTTTGCCGGGTTTGTTTAATTTAAAAGGTTTTTTTACTGCTGGTATGCAATACCTTTTTGGTCGGCTTTTTTTACTAAATTTTGCTTATGGTAAAAATTAAAAATTTGTTTAAACTACCCGTTTTTTTATTAATAATTTAAAGTTTGCGCTAACGCTTTTACTAAAAAAAAAGCGGCTTTATATGTTAAAAACCAAATTCTTTATCGACTTTTTTACTTACAACCCCGATTTTACAGCTTTTGCACAAGCTATAAAGGCATTAAATCCAATAAGCCGCTTTTTTCTTTATTATATTATTTTATATTTGCTAACTTTAAGTGCAATTTAAATAAGAAACCAGCAAGTTAAGCACCCGTTTGCCCGTGCTTTAAAGCTTGCTAAGCCTGCTTTTTCTTTCAAAAAAGGCGGTTAATTACCTGGCTGCCCGGGCTTGCCTGGCAACCCGTTGCTACAGTAGCTAAAGTAAGTAAAATACCTTTGCCTTACTAATTTGGTGGCTGAGGTGTGGGCGTGCGTTATGCTAACTTTCACCCTTCGTCTTACCGGACGGGGGCTACAGGCGCTATTCCCAAAGGGGTCAGCGCTGGGCAGAATAGAACCACCCCATTTGCCAGGCACGAGCGGGGACCAGCGGCACTGGGCCTGGTGGCAGATCAACGGACGGCGTGGTTGGCGTCGGTCCACGTACCGCCCGCATCAACTCCAGCGCACGTCCAGCCTGTCCCGCAGGAAGCGCGGTTGGTTCATGTTGTTACATGCACTGATTTGGCACAATTGAAGTCGACGGCGGTCAGCATTCCTTGCAGCCCGAACGAGGACAACTGATGATATGAAAAAGGAAACAAAGAAAATCAATTCATTTTTGTTATCTCCTTCATTATTTCCGTCACTCAATCTGGGGGCCATTCCGGTCTTTCATTTGAGCCGATTACGGTGATCGGGTGACCATTTTGGACCGTATTTGGCGCCGGAGGGTGTGGGGGGGGCTGACCGGACCATTCGCTGGCCGGACATGGAGTTTGTGCACTTTTGGCTTGCACTGCGCAATGCTGGAGACAGCGAACGCTGCAACCAGCAGGGAGCAGTGGCACCAATTCTTGAGCAGGTACAGGAGTCTAAAAGATGAGCCATCAAACCTAATCGCCAGCTCCGGTCCTTTTCCTCTCTTCATTTCTCGCCGAATTCCAGGTCTCGCCGTCATCGATTTGTCGTTGGCGCTTTGGGACGAACATGGAGGGGCTGAGGGAGACAGCAGGCTCCAGAGCGGTTACGCGTCCAACCAAGCTGTAGGGGAGTCAATTGAGGGGAATTGGCCAATCGACATGGGCAGGCTTTGGCGAAACCTAGGCATCAATTGATTGCATTGATGAATGATGGCTGCCCGGACAAGCACGTGTTTGTGAGTCATATATACTTGGTGTTATCATCGTCAATTGTTGGGCACTTTCACCTCTCAATGCGAGTGAGCTGGCCTCCTTGGATGTCAACACATGCCCATCCTCGTTCCGACATGAAGTGGTGGGCAGACAAATCAGATGACGGCATTGGCACGGCGCCGCGTTAAGCCGAAACACTTTGCCGTTCCCTGCCCAAAGCCCTGGCTTGGCATGGATAGAAGGGGTATTTATCGATAAAGTCCCGAGCCTAAGAGGGTGGAGCTGGGCCAGGGAGGCAAGGGCTGCATGTACTCCGTGTGGGCACGGAGAGGTACCTAGACCCAAGGTCTCTCAGCCATGTACAGTACTGTACAGTTCCTGCCACCGCCTGCCCTCCCCCTCCCTCAGCTCCCGCGGCCAGAACATCTCGCGGCACCCGCAGCCAGCCAGCCAGCCAGCCAGCGAGCCTTCCCGGAGGCTAACCCGACGATCCCACTAGCCAAGGTAAGCGACTGTCGTTATCACCGATGAGCAACAACGGAGGAGCGGCTTCGTCGGGAGAGGCAGTCTGAGCAGACGGGTTTCCCAAAACCTCACCAACTGCTAACCCCCCGGAACAAGCGGATTTAGGAGACGTACGCACGCCCACGCCCACGCCCACGCCCGCATGCCAATACGGTCTGCCTGTCTGCCTGGAAAGGACGTGTCAGATTTCGCTCCCAGCCTCGGAAATGGCGGGAGCCCTGAAGCGAAATCCGACCGTCAAGCCCTCGGTCAGCCCAGGCCTCCTCCACAGCGAAATACCCGCGGGGTTCGATCGAGTGAGACGGAGCAGATAGCCAGACAGCCCTCCCCGATACCTTTATCATCAGATCCCTTTATCGTCATGTTGGTCGCGGGGATGCCTCTTTTGTCCTCCCCCCCCCCCCCCCCCCTTTTGTGGGACATTGGTCGGGATAAAGCTGCCACTACCATTAATGGTGGCACCGCACTGATCGCCCTCCAGGGCCTGAGCTGCGCGTGCGTCTGCCGGGTTTCCAATTGGCAAGGCGAAAAGCTTGAGCCTCTGGTCCGTTTCCCAGGGATTGGGCCAAGCAACGAGCAGCCCGTCCCCTCCTCGCAGCATACCCACCGAGCCACCCAAGAAGCACCCAAGAACCACACCACCCCTCACAGGGCAGAAGCATGTGGACAGGAAAGGCAGGTTGCATGCAGCCTGTCCCCCCCTTCCCACCCCCCTCGAATTGGGCTTGCAAGGGGTGAGAGGGAAGAGGCCCTGCAATGGGGTCTCCTTTCCGTCTCTTCCTGCCACGAGCGGCGGCCGGCGGTTCGAGACGTGGACCTTTGTCACTTGCCGGATGCGACTCCGCAGGGTGGCTGCTCAAGCGATCATGGCCGGGGCAGCCGCGTAGGCGAACCCAGAACCCAGAGCCTCTCGCATCTGCCTGCGGGTGGCTGTCGTGTGGCAGTCGAACCGTCTCGACGCCTGCTGCCACTGATGCAGGTAGCCGTCCGCCGGCGGCTCGTTGGTGGGGTTGAACAGGTTTGTTGTGCCTCTTGTTCTTGGAAAGGGGGGTGTCCTGCCCACATCGCTGCAATGTCACAGCAGAGTTCCGAGTTGGGCGTTGCCGGAGCAGTTGGAACCTTGGGCTCTCTGTTGAATCCGTCACCAGCACTTCTCCCACACACACAGACACACACCCACACACACCCACTTGCCCATCAAACACACATCCCTTGGCGCTTGCCATGGGCGCTTCTGCCCTTCGCCATCTGTGCTACTGCCGCTACCCCTCGATTTCCTTGGCGTCCGCACTGATAGCGGGGTGTGATGGCGGGCGGCCGGTGGTGAAGGATATCCCAGAACGGCACCACCTGACCATCCTTGGTGGTCGTCGACATCCCCCAAAACACCCCACGCTCCGCCGTCTTGGGTGTGTTTGACATGATCACCTTTGCAGCCCTCGTGGACAACCCGCTTGAGACAGGAACGCCAATTGGTAGCACGTGCACGCTCTGATTGGGCCGGGTCAGATAACCGTCACGTCCATCCGCCTTGGCGGGCATGTCTGGTTATCGATGCCACTCAATGGAGGGGGCCGGCGATTATCGTTGAAATCTCGGACGACTTTTTTTTTTTTTTTTGCTTCTTCTTCCTCTCGCTCTCCCTCACCCAATCCCTGCCTGCCGCCCGGCCGGTTCATGGCGCCGCGCCCCGATGATGGCGAGTCCTCGCTCCTTCGCGCACCCGAAACCCCACAGTTGGGCATTGACGAGCAGCAGCCATGCCCCAGATTACAGCGTCGGTCGCCAGCAGCAGCATGCATACAAGATGCATGGCCAACAGCGACAGCAGCATGCAGCCTCCCGATCGGAAATGCAACCGCCCGATTAGAATGGCGGTGGGCGTCGCCCTGGACTGCGGCAGTAGCGCGGCACAAGGGTACTCTTGAGAATGTCCAGACCTTGAGGCCATTGACAGATGTCACTGCATATCTCTACCCCCCCATACGATACTTGTCTATCTATAGGTACCCAAGTAGAGAAATAAACGGCCCCCAACGGTGCAGGTACCCAAAAGTCTCGGTTGGGATCAACACCCAAGCATGCACCTGGAAACGCGCGCTGCACGAAAAAACCTGCAGAGAGGCCACACGGGGGTTGGAATATCATCGTCTTGGGCACATCACCAGTCGCCCGCATCAAGGGCAACTCTGGGACAATCTTTGTACGCTCAACGCAGCAGCAGGGACATCTCCCAGTCGTGAAGTCGTACAGACAGCACGCTTGACATGCTTTCCCACCTCCCTCGCTCTGGCGGGGTCTGCGGAGCGTTCGTTTGCCCTCGGTACCTCTTTCCTATCTGGAAGCTGCCTGTTCGTTCCTGAACTCCTCAGCTGTTGTGAGACGGACGCTTCCAAGTGCGGAGTTGTTCGTTACCTAGGTAGGCTGACTGACGGGGGGGAGAAGACGCGGACAGATAGATATCAGGACCTTGTCCGACGGCGTCGACCGGGGGCCCTGCGCCTTGTTTTTGTGTGCGCGCATGCCGTGCTACTCCAGACGCCCACTTGCTGCTGCTGCTGTTGCTGCTGTTGCTGCTGCTGCATCGCCGCTTTTGCCCCGGATTTCACGTTAGCCCTTACCCTCCTCCCCCCCTCCATCGTCCCGTGCAGCCAGCCGTCGGGCAGAAGCGGGTGTACTTGCTGGTTCTTCTTGCACTTGATATGCATGTGTTTTTGTCCTTCCCCCGTCTCCCCCCCAGCCAATGCCAATCGCCCCCCTTGGTCGTAGCGGGCTAGCCGTCAGCCCCGCCGCGCCGAGATATGGATAGTCGTCTGCGGGACGGCCAACTTATGGGTGGGGAGGAGGAGCCGAGGTTTCCGGACTGCTCTTGGTTGAGACGCGACGCCCCTGTTGTTTGTTGACCTGTGCGTGCCCGTCTCGGCGTGCAGATGGTGCCAGCTAGTGTGCGGTCGGAGGCGGTCACGCGTTCCCCTCGTCAAACGTTGATGTTTGCGGGGGTTCGGTTCGGTAGGTAGGTAGTTGACGAGGCAGGCATTGCTGTTTGTGCCTCGGGCGGCGATGCCCGAATGCTCGGCGTAGGCATTCGTGTCGGCTCCGATTGTTTTTCTTTTTCTTTCTTTCTTTAGATAATGCTAGCCAATGGAAACATACCGTATCATGGTATCGAGACATGGAAAGAGCCCAAACCCGACATTGAGTTTGCTGATCCGTCAAAGCTGCTCTCGGCCAACTTGCCGGCGGGTCAGGTCGAGTCGAGTCGAGTGGGCCATTGATCCATTGATCCTTGACTTTTGACAAGGCCGCGACGATTTTATGGGGGACCCCGTTTTTTTCGACCCCTGGGGTTTCCTCCCACTTCGAAAGGCCGCACGTGGTTTTGCGTCTTGTGATTGACTCCTATCTCTTCCTTCCAAAAAGCCACCATGCCCGTCGCAGTTTGCATACGCAAGCCCCGAACATGACTCCATCTCTGTGGCATGTGGGCCTGCGATGGTGCTTCGTCAACTTGCTGGGCCGACCCCTGGAAACGGCCCTGGAGCCCTCCTCGAAACATGACGCGCGCCAAACGCAGCCCGCGGAGGCCGAGCCACGAGAAGAAGCCACACAATTCCCCTTTCCAAACCTCCGTCGGACATCTATCTCCCCCCCCTCTGGCTTGGTCTCCTCTCCTGCGTTGTGGACGAGTGCCTGGGATCAACGCCTTGGTCGCATTGAAATCTGTGCCTGGTGGACGGGAAAGGTACCTGACCGGCTTTCCCGCTATATCGGAAGGAATCGACCGTTTGCTGACGAGCTGGGCGCCACACACAACCCATCCTATAATGTTCCATCTTGACTGCACACTTCTCCTATTTTCCTTGTCGAGATAGGCCTCAACAACTCTCGGTCTATACCGCAATCTCTTTTCCCCGTCCGGCCGCGTCAGCTCGGCTATAGCCCCTTCTATATTTTCTTTTTTTTCGTCCCTTTCTGTCCCCTTGCCTGTCGTCCTGTCCCATCCTCCTCTCCTCCAACCGAATACGACTTGAGATGATGGATACATCACCGGCAAAAGACATGGGTGACGACGGCGACGGCTCTCTGCGGCGTGCGGTAAGGATGATCTTGGCCTCGTGAAGGGAATCCAAAACGCAAAAAGCATCCGTTCCCACCGGGGCTTGGCCCGGTTCGGAACGCAGACAAGACGACCTTGGAAACAAAGAACAGACGGGGGCTGATGGCATCACACATTATATCTTGACATGCTCAGTGCGACCAATGCCGAATCAGAAAGGTGCGTACACTCATGTTCATGCTGCGAGCCGGCTGTGCTGCCAGGCAAGATAAGAAGTAGGCGGGCAGCTTGGGCTTACACACTCTACGGGAAACGTCCCCCGGCCGGCGCCGTTTAGATACGGTGTGACAAGGCCACGCCATGCTCCAACTGCAGCACAGCCAGGCGCCAGTGCTCGTCAACCGGCATCGGCCAGCGACCCAAGGAGCCGCGCCAGAGGGTCCTCATTTCCACCCAGTAGTAAGTCCTGGTGGTTTTTTTCTTTGAGCCTCTCTTTCGTCCACCCGGCGTTCCCTCGTGCCCCTTTTCAACCTTTTTTTCTTTCGGCCACCGGGACGCCCCGGGTTGCCGGGTCCGCGGGAAGGAGTTGACCCACCCCTCGCTGCCGAGGCCGTCCCCTTGCCCAAGTGGATGTGGGTGGTGTCTTGTTAGGGCTTGTCTTGCCAAGAAGGCTTTGCCAAATATACTTGCCGTTCCCGCAAGCCGAGCCAGCCCTTGGAGCGCCACGCCACTGCTTCGGCTCTGCATCTTGGCCTGGGCTGGCTCGGGTGGGTGGCAAATAATGGTGCCCCTGTCCTGCAGCCCGCTCACCACTGGTCTTCATCTGCGTACACTACCGGTCTTCATCTGCGTATAACCGGCCCGTCATTTCCCCATGGCCTCCAGACTAACCACGGCCCCTCCCTTCGGCCTCGACGACACACAGCGAGAGGAAGATTGACCAGATCGAAGATCGGCTGGGCCACATCGAGCAGCTCCTGCGCAGCCTGCCCGCCCTGATCCAGCATGGCCACCAGGGCGGGGCCGCCGCCATGTCGTCGGACCTCGCCGAGGCGCGCCACACGCCGCCGGCCTCGTGCCAGTCGCGCGACCTGACGCCGTCGCTGGCCGAGGAGTGCGGGGCCGGAAGCGGCGGCTGCGTCGACGAGGCCGGCGGCGAGTGCAACGACGACGACGGCGACGACGGCTACACCGAGTCGCCCTTCCAGGGCGAGTCGTCCATCACGGCGCACACCGTGTTCGCGTCCGAGTTCCTGCACCACGCCGTCGGGCGCACGTCGCTCGACTCGAGCCTGGACCCCAGCATGCACTCGGCCCTGACGTCGCTGCAGCAGATCGTGCACATGCAGCGCCGCACCTCGACCATGGCCGAGATCCGCTTCCCCAACCAGAAGCCCCTGCCCAAGGGTGGCCTCAAGGACCTGCCCATGCCGCCGCTCAGGGTCGTCGTCGCGATCCTGAGGGAGCTCAAGGCTAATTCCGCCTCCCGTTCGTGCCCAAGCGTCCCCCAATCGTCGTCGTTGTCATCATCATTATTGTCATCATCATCAAAAGATCCCCCACAGGCGGGAGGAGGGGGAGGTCCGTCGTCGTCGTCTCGCTGCGCGTCCTCGCCCTCCAACTGCTCCCCCTGCCCCTGTGACACAAGCCGCCTCGCCAGCCACCTCAGTCTGCCGCTGTCCACAAAGGCCACGCCTTCCCATGCACCACCACAACCACCACCACCACCACCCCTAGCGGCGGCGGCGGCGGCGGGGGGACCACCACCGCAAAAGATGGAGGGGCTAACACGGGCCATACACCCCTTGACGCTGCTTCCAGAGTTCACGCCCGTCAGCTTCACCCTCATGTGCTCCTTCATCAGCGTCGAGGAGTTCACCGAGCACTGCCGCCGCGTCTACTTCGCCACCGAGGACTTTTCGCAGGCGAGCTTCATCATCGCCGTCGCGGGGCTCTTTTACATCCTGCAGGAGCGCGCCTGCACCGAGCAGGCGCGCGACCCGGCCCTGGCCGCCGACTACCAGCGCTACGAGGCCATGTGCCGCGACAGCCTCGAGACGGTGCTGGCCCACTTCAGCCTCATCCAGCCGGCCAAGCGCGAGAACGTCGAGGCCCTGATGCTCGGGTCCAGCTACGCCATCGAGATTGCGAAGCCCTCGCTCGCCTGGCAGCTCAACTGCGCCGCGAGCCAGCTGTGCATGACCATGGGCTACCACCGCGCCCAGCCAGCCCCGTCGGAGAGCCAGGAGCAGCAACAACAACAGCAGCAGCAGCAGCAACAACAACAACAACAACAACAACATCAACAACAGCATCAACAACAGCAGCAGCAACAACAACAGCAACAACAGCAGCAGGACCCAAATAACCCAGGCAGCGGCTCCGTCTTTGGCAGCAGCAGCAGCAGCAACAACAACAGCAGCAGCGGCGCCCGCGAGGCCTACGAGCAGTCCAAGCGCCTCGTGCTCTTCTGGTTCACCTACACGCTCGACAAGGGCCTGGCGCTGCGGCTGGGGCGGCCGTCGGTGATACAGGACTACGACATCACGGTGCCCTGGCAGGTCGGCCGCATCCGCGGCTGGGACGACTACCGCGACACGCTCAACGTGTGGATCCGCCACGCCCGCGTCCAGGGCCGCATGTACGACGAGCTCTACAGCCCCGCGGCCCTGCGGCGGCCCGCCAGCGCCCGCGCCCGGACCGTCGTCGAGCTCGTCGCCGAGCTGCGCGAGCTGCGCGTGCTCGTGCTCGCCCTCCAGGCCGAGCGCAAGCCCGACCCGGCCCGCCCGACCTTTGACTCGGCCCTGGTCGAGATTCTGGCAAAGTCCGACGACGTCTCGTTCCTGAGCTCCATCGCGCTCTGCTACCGCGCCATCCCGCCCGACGTCCCCGTGGTACCCGCCGGGCCCGGGGGAGGGGGAGGGGGCCGTAGCGTCTCAGGCACCTTTAGCTTCGAATGCATCGACGCCGCCCGCGAGTCCATGGCCGCCCACCAGGCTTGTATGCAGCTAATGGCCGAAAGCAAGGATATGGCGGCGGCTTACGTGCACTGGTACGTTATCCCTTTTTTTTCCCTTCCCTTTTTTTCCCTTCCCTTTTTTTCCCTTCCCTTTTTTTTCCCTTTCCTCCTTCTTGGAGCCGTTGCGCCATTTGGCTGCCCCGCACTTTTCTTCTCCGCCTACCCTGCACCCACCCTGTACCCACCCTGCACTTCCTGCACCTACCCTGCACCTCCTGCACCTCCTGCACCTCCTGCACCTCCTGCACAAGTCGGGCGGGATATTTAAATGCGTCGTCCTTTGTATTGCAAATACTAACCACGCAACATACCTTTAGGACCATCCTGTATGCCCCATTCATTCCCTTTATCGTTATCTTCTGCCACGTTATCGAAACAGCCGACGTGGAGGACCTAAGCCGGCTACACCGCTTCACGGCCGGGCTCGAAGGCCTGGGCGAAGTGTCGGAACCCATCAGCAAGCTGCACCGGCTGTGCAACGCGCTTTCAAACGTCGCAAACATGTACCTCGAGACCAAGAGGAACGCAGCCGCCGCCCAGGCCGCCCAAATGGGTAGCGGCGGCGGCGACGGCCAGGTGGTGGGCGGCGCGGGTGCGTTGCAGGACCAGACCATGTACCCGGTCGGCATGGAGTTCGACATGTACCTGCGCGACCTGGGCTTCATGCCGGGGTCCAATGGCGGCGGCGGCGGTGGCGGCGGCGGCGCCGACGTTGCCGGGCAAATGCAGACGGCGGCGGCGGCCCAGGCTGCGGGTGGCGGCGGCGGCGGCGGCATGGACATGTTCCACAACGCGCAGCTGGGCGACTGGTTCTCGAGCAACCTGTCCATGATGGGCATGCTGGAGAGGGACTTGTCGGGCTTCACCCCTCCCAACAACTGGCCGGCCACCACGGGTCCAAACGGGCATCACCAGTAGTAGTGCATGTGTTTGTTTCTTGTACTTCTTTCCGTATTCTTGTTTTCTTCCTCCTCTCTGTCTTGATTGCCCACGGGCCTGCGTCGCGTATTATGTCTTCTGTGTCCTTCGGCAAGCTGGCCGAGATGGGTCTGAATTAGTCGACTGGGGAAAGGTCTTGTAAACTAAACCATGTAAAATGATCATGATTCCTTACCGCTCATAAATCGTGTAGTCGTATATGTCATGCGAGATTGTGAAGCTGGCCGGACCCTCACGCGGTCGGGAACCGCGGGTTGTACGTGTTGTAGCCGTCGTCGTCGTCGTCGTCGGAATCGCTCTCGGCGTCTTGCTGGTCCGCGTCCTCATCCTGGTCGGCCACGCTCGTGCAATCCGTGTAGTCGGACGCGGCCGGCGTCGCGAAGCCCTTTGACCAGGCGACGACCGAGTCCTTATTAGAGACTGGCGAGCCGCACTCGGGAGTCGCGACCGCGGCGGCGGCGGCGGCCTTGTCGGCGGCGGTGACAACGGGCACAAAGGCCGCCTTGAACCCGGACTTTTTGAAGCCGCCCTTCTTGAAGCCTCCTCCTCCACTTCCACTTCCACTTCCACTTCCACTTCCGGTCCCGATCTTGACGCTGACGACGGCGTCGGCCTTGGCCTCGGCCCTGCGGGCGCGCGCGGCGGCTCCCGGGTCGCGCACCATGGCCTTCATGTCCTTGAGGCGCTGCTTGTGCGTGTGGTCGTAGGACGAGAGGTGCGCCTCGTAGTCGTTCATGCGCGTGTAGCCCTTGGAGCAGAGCTGGCAGTAGAAGGACTGCAGCGCCTCGCGCGCCGACGACGTCTGCGCCGGCGGGAGGGTCTGGTGTCGCTGCGGGCCGTGGTGGGATTGTGAGCGAGGATAGGGATAGGGATAGGGGGAGTAGTAAGCGATGTCATTGCGGGGTGTGAGACTTACCCGCGACATGGTGGGCGAGGAGACGACCGTCTTTGATGTAGATGTAAAGATGATACAGAGCGGTGCAGCCAGCCGAGTTACCGTATTGTGGCCGCGTGAGCCCGGCTGCTCGTTCGGCGATTGTGTTCTTGGTTCTTGTGTCGAGGCTGGTGGTTTGTGATTGATGTATTGTCCTGGGCCGAGCTTGGAAGCTTAGACTTGCTCTGTAATTGTGAGAAAATATGTGGTTACCCACCGACCGGGTCCACTACGTGGGGTGAAGAGAGACTGATGTCAGTGGTTTGCGTCTGTGGCCCCTTGTCAACGGCCCGCTCCCCAAGACATCCCACCAAAATCAGCACCCACTCGGCGTGCAGCCATTGAGAAGAGCTCCCAACAACAAATCCAAGGGCCTCGAGGCATTGTCCACCCTCCACCGAACGCCCGTTGGAGGCCGACGAGACCGGACCCGAGAAGCAAAATTCAAACCTTCAGCCCTCCCTCTGCGGCAAAAAAGGTGGCAGCGAAACCATCAGACGCCAACCACAAGCCATGGACCGGTACTCGAGGTCCTTGCGCCGGAGGGCGTCCCAGGACACCATCTTCTCCATGCTGGAGCTCGAGCCGTCGCCCATGGACGTCGAGACCGACCTGCCCGACCTGCCCGAGAAGGACAGCGCCAGCGCCGCGTCGACAAGATCCAGGGGCGCCAGCTCAGGCAGCACCACCGCCTCGCTAGGCCTGAGCGGCACCGGCCAAGGTCCAGTATGGTACTGTACGGCCCCCTTGTATCCTCAAGCTTGCCCTCCCCTCTTCCTCCCCTTCTTCCCCCCATGTCGATCCTACCAACTGACCTTTTTTTTTTTTCCTTTTTTTTCACCTACTCCCTAGTGACACGGGTCCAGCGCTGGTCCTCCTATACCTTCACCATCTTCGCCTCGGTCCACTTCGCCACCACGTCGCTAGTGCCGCTGCTCACGCGGTCCGTCGCCGCGTCCGAGTCGTACCTCCTCCTCTCTCGCGAGATCTACCAGACGCGCCTGTCGGAGCCCCTCCTCGTCGCCGTCCCTCTGGCCGCCCACGTGGCCGCGGGCATCGCGCTCCGCCTCGTGCGCCGCTCCCAGAACCTCCAGCGCTACGGGGGCGCCACGCCCGCCATGCTGCCGCAGCACCACGCTTCGGCCGCCGGCAAGCAAACACACCCTCACCACAACCACCACCGCTACAGCCCCTGGCCGGCCGTGTCGACGACGGCGCTGGCGGGCTACGGCGCGTGCGGGGCGGTCCTGGCGCACGCCGGGGTCAACCGCGTGCTGCCGCTGCTGGCCGAGGGCGACAGCGCCGACGTGGGGCTCGCCTTTGTCGCGCACGGCTTCGCGCGCCACCCGGCGCCGTCGTGGGCCGCCTACGCCGCCCTCGTCGGGCTGGGCGTCGGCCACGCCGTCTGGGGCTGGGCTCGCTGGCTGGGCGTCGGCCAGGCCGCGTCGTGGTCCGGCACTGTTGTTAGCCGCTCCGAGATGGTGGACGGCCGCGTCCGCAAGCGCAGGAGGAGGTCATGGCTGCTCGTCAACGCCCTGGCCGCCTCGGCCGCCCTGCTGTGGGCCGCCGGCGGCCTGGGCGTCGTCGCAAAGGGCGGCCTGACGCCCGGCTGGGTCGGGGACCTATACGACGGCCTGTATCAGAGGGTGTACCTGTGATGGAGGGTTGGATCGATGGTGGTTGCATTACACCGAGGTTATTGGGTTTTATAGAGCAAGCAATGTACATATCGATTCGTCAGAGCGACGGCGGCCAAATAAAAGATGCAGATCCCGGGAACACGCTAGGCCCGGTGGCGTCCCAACGCAAAGCAATAATCATCGCATCAGACTCAGGTTATGTGTGTGTATAGGTGCTTTGGGGGCTGCCAAGCTCCAAGATTGCTCCACACATCTCGCCCCTCAAACGGTAAAGTCCAGCATATCCCACGGCACCCCCTGCCTGACCGCGTCGTCAAAGATCCGGAGCTTACCCTCCGTCTCGCTCACTCCCAGGTTGGCCACCCGCAGGGCCTCGGCCGCATCCGCGGCGGCGCGCCCCAGCAGCGCGACGTGGTCCCACATCTGCGTCACGTACGCCTTGGCCTGCTGGGTGTGGGTGGTGAACTGGTCCAAGGTGCAGCCCTCGTCCTCGCACAGCCGCCGCGTCTCGGCGTCGACCCGCGCCTGCTCCGCCACGGCGTGCTCCCACGCCGCCACGTGCGTCCTCTCTTTCTCGTCGTCGTCGGCCTGGGCCTCGGCCCGGGCCTTTTCGCGATCCACCAGCTGCAGGAAGAGGTACTTGCGCATGTAGCTCTTTGCGGCCGCATCGCCCGTCATACCTATGGGTGGCAGTCCCGCGGGGTCCATCTTGGGATTCGGCGATGGCTTCTGATCGGCCAAGGTGGGTGGGGAGCGGCGGAATGTCCGAGAGGGCTGCAAGTCCCGCGAGAGAGAGAGAGCGGTGCAGAGCTGTGTGGTTTCCGACGGGTTATGTGGCCGCTTTGGTGTAGGATGATGGAGAGAGTTTTCACAAAAGGGAGCTGCAACTTCTCGGCTAGCCAGCGCTGCCTTTTTATGTGTGGCTGTCGAGAGTGATTCCTATACGTCCCGTCTTCATAGACGGCGTGAATGGCTTCTCCCGTCGGCCTGTATCACCTCGTGCGCCGATGCATGGTTGAACACGGGAGCCACGAGGACCGACCGTATTGAACGTAACGGTAAAATAAAAGTAGAGAGTGGGGGAACGCCCCTATTAGGTATGTGCTGAAAGTATGCCATCACAAGGCCTGTCGCCATCAAGTCTATCTATAGCTGGCGCTTCTAATGCTGTACAAAGCAAATGCTGAGTGTGCGGGTCGCTGGGAGCGACGGCATGCAATAACTCCAAAGCAAAAAGTAACGAGAATAACACAAAAGGGAAAAGGGTGATAGCAACGAGAAGAGAACTCCAACTTTTGCAAGAGGAACCAAAGAAACAAAGAAGACAGTGCTCTTTTTGTAAACCCAGAAAACAAAGGAGACGAGCAAAGGCCCACATAGGCCGTGCTCAGAAGCTCAGGAGCCCGCTCCTCCTCTTGCCGAACGGGTACACGATGAGGGCGCTGAGGAACAGGCCGACGGTGAGGCCGATGGCGACCTGGATGACGTTGAACAGCACGCTAAAGGCGTTGCTGTTCATGTTGTGTCCCAGGGAGCTCGTGGCGGCGGCCCCGGCCCCGGCCAGCGACGTGATGTTGACCTCGGTCCCGTTGATGAGGACCGTCATGTTGGACCGCGTGATCTGGTTCGCCGTCTGGATGCCCGCCAGCAGCGAGCCGCCCGCCGCCAGCCCTCCGGGCACCTGCACAAAGATCGCCGGGAGCATGGCCGCCGCCGCGAGCCCGTAGCCGATGCTGCGTGCGCGGGCGGTGGGCGCCGCCGCCTCCGACTTTCCGTCCCTGGCCTCCTTGTCGTGGTTGTCGTGGTTGTCGTTGTCGCCGTCGTCGCCGCCCTTCTCGCGGCCCTCGGCGCCGGGCGAGGGCGGTCGCGATCCGGCGTCCGAGGTGTGGGCGCTAGCCGCGCGCTCCTGGACCGTGTACTCGTCGGCGTTGGGCCGCGTGGCGGTGCGGCCGCGGAGCTCGTTCCGGCGGCGGCTGACGCTGGAGAAGCGCGGCCGGACGCGCGCCTCCCACCAGTCGAGGAAGTCGAGCCAGGCGTTGCGGACGTGGCGGCCGAGGCGCGAGTAGAGGTTGGCGAGGATGCCCACGGTCAGCGCGCCCAACATGTTGGAGACCTGGGAGGCATTGACAAAGAAAGTAGCCGAGTACGAGTTGACGCAGTAGCCAGCAAAGGCAATAGTGAGCATCACGGGCGTCTGCCTCCACTTGGCCTGGTTGATGATGCAGAGGCAGAGCGTAAAGATGGGAACAAAGAGGAGGTTCCAGTTGCGGTCTAGGGGTTTCTCGCAAAAGGGCTTGGACGACGCGCCCTGCCGATCCAGCATGCCATACAAGGCAGTGCCGATGGTAATGCCGTACCCGAGAAACAGTGTGTAGATCATGGCGTAGACCATGCGGACGGAGCCGGCAACGATGTTGTGCGATTGCAGCTCGAGGGCAGCGCACAGGACCATGTAGCCTGGTAGGATGAGGGCGATGGAGCTCTGGGCCAGGGCAGAGAAGCAGAAGATGTACTCGCCGTTGTACCGGATGGAGCCAAAGGCGCGGGAGAGGAAGGACATGACGATGGCGGCGCTGACCTCGGAGACGTTTGCATACATCTCATTTGAGGGGACGAGGATCAGCTGCATGATGCCGAGAAGGCAGCCGAGCACAAAGGCTATGGGCATGTCTATGAAGCTGCCCTGGAAGGCAAAGGGAGCGACAGTGGCCGAGGCGAGGCCGTAGATGGGCACGCGCACCCAAATGCCGTACTTGAGGTCCCTCTTGAGGATCTCGTCCAGGCGGACGGTGGCCTCTTCGACTCCCATCTTGTCGTGGATAACCTCCTTGTAGATGGCGTGGACGTCGCGCAGCTTGCCCAGGTTGACGCCGTGGCGCACGCGGACAATCTTGACTTCGGTCGTGTGTGTGGAGCTGTCGTCAAAGGAAATAAGCATGCAGCCCGGCATGTACAGGAACTGGCCCTCGATCTCGAGCACGCGAGCCGACATGGTCATGTACTCCTCCAGCCGGTGCGTCGGCGCCCCGTACGACATGAGGGCCCGGCACAGCTTGACCAGGAACTTGTGCCGCGAGAGGATCTGCGCAATGTGTTTGGTGATGCGGATCCTCTTGTCGGCCTGGGACGGCTTGGGAGGCTTGGGCGGTTTGGGCGAGCCGCCGAAAAGGCCTGACCGCCTCTTCTTGGGCGATGGAAGAACGGGTTCCTTGCCGATCTTGTCCGCAACGCTCTCCGAATACATGCTGGATCCCGGGGCCATGAGCGTCGAGGTTGACTTCATCAGCTCGCCCAGGGTCGACTGCGACTGGCGCTTGTGGTCTCCCGGCGAGGAGGGCCCGCCATGGATGTTGCTCCAGATGCCACTGCTGGGCCGAGAGGGCCGCGGAGACGCGGGCGTCGAGGGAGCAGCAGACCCCGGAGGGGACGCATTGGGCGTCATGACATTGGGCGTAGCCGTTCCTGGCGTCGAGCGGCCGCTGTTACCGCCACTCTCGTTGTAAAGCTTGAGAAGGGTGCCCAAGATGCCGCCGTGGTATCTACCCGGGCGGGGCACGTACTCGTCGCCGTCCGCCTGCTCGTGCGTCGGGGTCGACGCCCCGGAGCGAACGCCGGACGGGGGCTGGTAGCTAAAGTACTCATCGTTCGGGCTGCTTCCCTTGCCGCTGCTGACAGCAGGTCGCCCTCCGGCACCCTTGTACTTTTGTGCGCGTCGGGTATGTGTGCGCACCAGGTTCTCGGCTGTGAGATGGGACCCCTTGCGTGCCCGCACACGCCCATTTCCGGCCTGGCGAGATTCTTGCTCCCGGCCCGAGGCCCGTCCCTTGTCAGCCCCTATCCCAGGGCCCGCGGCCCGACCGCCAGCCTCAAGATCCTCTTCATCGGTGTCAAAGGAAGCACGACGGGAGGCATATGGGGACGTGTAGTTCTCGACGCGGGCGGCCAGGTTGTGGGCACGCTCGCGGGCGGCCAGACCGGACCTGTGCTGCCGCTCGCCCAGGTTCAGCTCGGCTAGGTCCGCAGCCTGTCGGATCTCTGGTACATCATAGCTGGTGTTGCGCCGGAGCGCAGGTCGTGGGGGCTGCAGCGGCGTTCGCGCTCCAGTACTTGTGGCTGACGAGCTCGCGATGCCAAGGCCGCCGACCGTCGTGGCCGTCGTACCGTCTGGCTGGGTCACGAGCTGGCTGAGGGCTCGGCGCAGCTCCGAGGCATCCGGTGCCCCGACTTGTTGACGTGCCTGTTGCTGCTCGGTGGGCGGTGACGGCCGTGGCGTGCCGAAGGGGTCGGGTTCCGCAACGGAAGCAGACTGCATTGTCATCAGGGGCTGCTGGATGTTACCGTCGTCGACGACGATGCTCGGGGGCCTGTCTCGATCATGGAATCCGACTCTCTTCTTCTCCCTTCTTGCTGGGGTTGCTGTTCCCGTGGCCGGGGACGGGTCTCGGCTGCCACCGCCGGGGTTCGCCGAGGACGACATTGCGTCTTGTTGGTGCGGGCTGGTCGGTGCCCGGTGACGATGCTGTTTAGGTATGCTTGCGCAGCTCTATGTGCGCGTCTGGGGATTGCGTTGGCCGGTTTCTTGGGCTCTCTTGGGCTCTCTTGTATTCAATCTCTGATGGTCTTTGGCCTCGTGCCCGGTTCGGCGGTAGGATATCCTCCTCGGTGGTATGTAAAGCTCCTCTTGCTCACGGCTATCAAGTGTCGAGAGACGGGCCTTCTTCGTGTCGTCTTAGTGAGTAGCTCGCCATTTCTGAAGAGGAAGGTGTGTGTAGGGTGTCGCGAGGGGTGGGGGGGTTCTTGCACAGGAATGAACGAGTTCACAAGGGCAAGATGATCCGACCAGAAGCAGGCCGCGGAGGAGGGTGAGGAGCTGGGTTTCTTGGGGATTCTTGGTATTTCTAGGCGCTCAAGATGCAGTGTGCGTCCCTCTTTTTTTTCCTCCTTTCCCGGGCGGGCGGGGAGCACTGGGCCCGGGAGAGTGGTGACATGGCCGGCGTGGTCGCGGGTCCACAGTATTTGCATAGAAGATACCAGGTCGAGAATGGCATTCGTGCGAGGCGCTTTCTCGTGTCCCAGCTTCCTCGCTTGCGGCCCTTTGCAAAATCAAATCTTGGGTGGAGGCGCGAGTCGACCAGCTCCAGTTTCGCAGGCCATGAGGTGGGGGTTACAGTGCCGCTTGTTACTGTACTGGTCCACCGGCTCAAGGAACAGCGTTCCCATTAGTCACGGATAGTGGCCATTCATGCCAGGGACCAGCCTGTCGCGGATAAGCCGCACGCCACATGAAGCAGCCCTTCGACCACGGGACGTAGCATCCATGGAAGCATCTCGCCTGTCGTTCCCGCTGCCCACTTTGCCGGTCCAGGGCTGTCTCCTCCTCGAGCCGGCAGTGCTGCCAAGTTTGTTTTGTTTGACGTCCCACGAGGCACCCCTGGTGGCTAGTTCCGTTATTCAGTACCCTGGGCTTGGAGTTTACTGGGCACAGCACCTAGCCAGGGACCAGTGCTAGCTCGCTTGGCGCGTGGCCACCATGGCCATCGGGCTGCAAGCTCGCGGCTCTGCACGGCGACGTGAAAGTCGGCCCGATCTATTACTAGCCGCTCAACGAAACACTCCGCGTAGCTAACAGCGACGGACGGGAACATGCGGTGTCCGTCACCGACCGATCTCCCGCATCTACCAGTACAGTAGCACATGCGATGTTGCCGAAGCTTGGTGACCAAGCAACACTGAGCTGGCTGGAAGCGCTGGCAATCCGTCTTGGATGACGTAGGGGGCCACTAGGGCTTTTCAGGGTTCCAATGGCTGAACAAAATGTCATGTCAGGTCAGCAGGGTTGAGCGAGAAAAAAAACATCAAAAGCTTGGACCCAACCTTCCCTTTTTGGCACCCGAGGATGCCCACGGCAGGCCGGAAACTTGGCCCGCCACCAAATCAGGTCCATCAATGACTCAACTGGTGCGACAACCGTTTGGCCCCAGCGGCGACAACAAAATGATCTGCTATGCTTGTTGGGGTTGCTCTTTTTTCTTTTCTTCTGCTCGTCTCTGCTCGTCGTCGTGACACAGTCTCCAAAAAAAGACAAAAGATGTCTTTTCCCTGCTGCACCCTGGCACCAGTACTTGCAATTCCCTGCGTGACGCTTCGGCCCCTCCGAAAAGGATTTTCCAGCGGGCCGAAAGGATACCCCTGAGCGCGATGGCTTCTGTTGTGGCTTTCGGGTTACCTATTTGGGCCTTCCCTAGCCTCAATTCACCTTTTTTTTCTGCCCCTGGCATGGATCTCACAGACATTTCCTCCGGCCCCTGAGACGCAACGACATATCGCTGCCCAACCATCATGGCTTCCTCCAGGGGTACCAAAACCCAGGCTCCGCCCTCATTTGCAGCGCCAGACAAAAGAAATGGACCAGAAAAGTCGAGGACAAGCAAAAAAAGAAGAGAGAAAGAAAAAGAACACAAGTCTCGATGGGTCGGAAATGGAGGTTGCAACCATGGTGGACGGAGACTTTCCCGATGCCGCCTTGAGAAACAAGGTGAACCTGGTCCCGGACCGCTTCCGTCATGCCGTCCAATATCCCCGATGGGGTGATGGTCGCCTCAACGAGTCGGGTTAAATCCCGAAGGTCCAGAGTCGAGGTCATGTTGACAATATGTGTAGAATTTTCCGCATGGAAAGCCAGCCATGTAACCAGGACAGTACCCTCGCCGTCCGCAGGTAGATGGGTGCCCGATGCCATATGTCGCGCCAACCACTGTTGGGTCTCGTATGCAAATCTCTCCCTGCGCGCATGTAGAAGCGATATTCCAGTGTCGGCGGTGCGCATGGAGCGATTCTATCTTCCATGGAGTCAGTCTAGATTCGGGGATGGAACCCGGCGGCCTCGAAAGACTCCAACAGTGGATGTAGGCTCCCTTACCTTAATGACTCCCCGGTATCAAAACAAAGTTTCGAACCGGTCCATGCCAGGAAGTCCAGGTCGGTCGCGCGTCGTGGGAAGGTGGACGCGACCCGCCGCAAGCACAGCCGCCCGCTCCACCGAGTCCACTGCTGCGTGTCTGGGGAGGGACGATGTCTCGGATTGACTGGGCGAGAAGCCTCCCCGTCTCTGCCGGCGCCGTGTGTCGTGGCCGCGCCCGCATCCAGGGTGTGGGACCGGCTTCCGGCTGGGAAACCCCGACTATGTGCGGCTTACAAACCCGACCGCCGTGCCTAGCGCCGGGCTATCCTCGTATACGACCCGCCTCCCACTCGGTCCAGGCCCTTCGGCTTGCCGGGCGGTGCTGCAGCGCCGTCTGCCCGCTTATCACGAAGCGGGGTCCAAGTCTCGGTGCCAACCGGCAAACACGGCACGGGCTGGCTAGGTACACGCCGTGCGCACATTGCTAGAGAAAGAGGTGAAACGAATACTATCTTTACGCACTGGCAAGAGTTATGGGTGACAAACCATGCTGAATGCTGGTGTCGACTGGATGCATGAATGTGTGGCAATCACGAATCTTTGGAGCGGACTGAGGATTCCCGAGGGCGTTGACCAACCAGAAAGCCGCCCTGCCAGTCTGCCACCATATTTACTGCTCCTTGTCTGCTGCTAGTCTTTCTGTTCCTCGGGGCGGGCATGGTGGCGTGAAGACATAGTTTACGTGAGGCAGACAACAGGGGAAAAGGGAATCGATTAAAGGCTAAACGCCAAAGGACATTAGGGCGTAAACTATAAACAAGTAAAGGTATAAGCTATGGGGAATACAACGGCGTGCAGGAGGTATCTAGAAACGCAGAACGCCACAAAAGGAAGAAATTAAAAGTCAGAAAGAAGGAGTTAGGAGGGAGTTAACTTTGTGTGCTTGCGTGGGTGCGATGACGGAGCAGTGCAGAAGTGACGGCCGAGCTCGTGGTTGGACAGAGACTCCTCAAGACTGATTACTCCTTCCTTGCGCTGGCCTCGAGAAGAATGCAAGTATATCCATATGCAGCCACCGCTATACCCTATCGACGAACCGTCTCGGTCCACACCGGCAGCCACAAGAACAACAAAACGCCCATGGTCGCAAATATGGCACCGCTGGCCAGGCTCTGGACGACGATCTTGGTCTGCAGGCGGCGCAGGTGCTTGTCCTTGACCTTGAGCTTGCGGTCAAAGATCATCAGCCTCGACAGGGCCCTGAGCAGGGGGTTCTTCTTCTTTCGGCGGATCTCGGCGGGCGCCGCCAAGGCCGGGGCGTTGGGGTTGGGCTTGGTGATCTTGCCGGAGGCGCCGGTGCTGGAGGAGTTGGTGCTGCTGCCGCTGCTGCTCGTGTTCTTGCCGTTGCCGTTGCCGTTGGTGCTGCTGCCACCGTTGGCGCCGCTGCCGGGGTGCTCGATGCCCTCGCCGTCGTCGAACCGCTCCCAGGGGAGGGGCTGGCGGCGCGAGAAGAGCAGCAGGAAGAAGCAGCTGCCCCGCAGACCCGAGAGCACGAGCGACATGCCGACCCACCACAGCGGCCAGGCGGCGAAGGCCTCCCAGCGCGAGTGGGTGCCCATGCCCGGGTAGAAGGCGCGCAGGAGCAGCAGCAGGAACCCGGCAGTGGTCAGCGCGATGCCCAGCGCGGTGGCGACGCACACCGTCTCGTAGGTGCCGTTGGCGACGCCGAGCCTGACAAAGTTGCGGTGCGAGCAGCTCTTGAGCAGCATGTACGCGTGGTCGGCCATCGGCCGTAGCACCTCCGGGTCGATGTAGCCGGCCGTATCGGCGCCCTCCGGAGACATTGGCGTGGCTGTCGAGGCGGCCGAGGCTGCGGTGTTGCCGACGCGCTCCTGATGCTTTTGCAGTGCGTGCAGGGCCGTGTTGCGCATCGAGGACGTAATGTTGAGCTCCTTCTCAGAGCCGGGGAGGAGGTAGGTCTTGATGACGGCGCGCAGCTCGGCGCTGGGGCCCAGGTTGGAGGTGAAGAGCGAAGACGAGACGGCCGAGGAGCCATCACTGCTGTTCGGCTTGGAGGATAGACACCTGTCACCGGCGCACTTCGGCTGGGGCGGCATGAAGTCGCCCATGCCATCAACTGTAGCGCACAGAGTCACGTTCAAGCTGATGAGGTGGGCGATGTGTGCCAGTGTATCGGGGCCTATGGGAAGAGGGTGGCATTTTTGTGAGCGTGTGATCAACAAGCCGACGACGACAGGAAAAGGGGCGACTCACCCATCTCAGGATCCCACGACATCTGCGACGTGTTCACCGACGGCAGCTTCTCTAGGACCTGCGCAAACACGCTGCCTTCCCTCGACTCTTCTGCCGGGTCGACGGGCTCGGGTTCCTTCTCAGCGGGCTTGTTCTTCATGGCCTTGGCGTAGGCAAGCTCGTAGTTCTTGAACCAGACGTAGAACTCTAGGTTTTCCGGTGAGAACTCGATGTACTTGAGATACATGTAGAAGTCGTACAGTGACATTGGGCTACCTATGTCTCGAGAAACAAGGTCAGTTATCATAGCCATCCTTGCTGGACATGGATGCTTCCGAGAGTCTCTTACATGTCTTGTTCGCCAGGATCCTCTCCAGGCGTAAGCGGCTCGGGATGGCAAGCCTGGAGCGGCCATCGGGACTGAAGCTGCGCTGGCCTGTGCTGATCTGGGCCGAGTATTCCTTGATGTCTCTGTACTCGGGCTTCTTGTACCACACCATCCACGACGGGAGAGGCATTTTGAACGTGGCGCTGGGTGGACTGAGGGGGGGGGGAGGAGGGTGCGTGGCGGGGAGAGGGAGGCAGAAAGGGCCAGGGAGCAGGAGGGGTGCGAACGAGCGGCCTGTATATGTAGAGACTTGCGCCCCCAAAGTCCAGCGCTTGTGTCGGTGCGACGCCTTGCACGTCACACTCCCCGTCGTACAGGCATTCCCCGGCTGCCTGCTCGAGGTACATACTGTAGTACCGCGGATACAGGCGATCTGCTAGATGGTGCACACATGCTGCGACAGGGGTGCAGGCCCGAGGCTCGGGGCCGACCGATCATAATCTTAGCAGGGGTTGCTCCCACTTCCTTTGGGATTTCGACTGGAGGTGTGGCGTTGAGCCGGCGCGGCCGCTAGCCGGGGGTTGTGTAGTCGGCCCACGGAGAACGCGGTGCCTCCCTCGTTGCCACTGTACGTGCGCCTCCGTGACATGCTGGTTTCTTGGCCAAGCAAGAGTTGAAGCTGGCGGTTGGATGCTTCTGACGACGGGGCGGTTCTTAGCTCAGGCAGGCACTTCGTTTGTGCGACCTAGTGCAACCAAACGACAACCACGTGGAACAGGCTCTTACCGTTGGCCGGCTCTCCTCTTCGCCCGCCCTTAGACCCTGCAGGAAGAGCAAGGTGCAGACCACGAGACAGGACATGGGTCTGTGCGGGTGGTGTTGCCATTGGAACGGCTGTCAAGTTTCAGGCGAAGAAGGACAGACGAGGGGCGGGCTAGGGCAGCTGCAACTGCAGCTGCAAGATGCAAACCTATGCGATGCATGCCGAATCCGGACAAATATATGGGAACGTCCTGCTTGCTCGGCAATGCCCTGCGGCGAATCCAAGGGAGCTGAGTGCTGTGTATTGGATAATTCATGCGGGGCACGGCAGCGAGCGCCGCTTTTCAGGCCAAGCCAGGGACACCCATCTCGCCGTGCGCTAGGGATTGCTGATTGGGTGTTTGGACAGAGCGTTCGGCGCTATTACCCTAGTCCAGGGCCTAGGGCGGCGCCCTGCCCGAGAAGGAACTAGGAAAAAGAAAAGAGATGAGCCGAGCGGGTGGCGCTACCTGGCTGGGCCGGCGTGGTCGACCATCGATAGTCTGAGGAGCATGGCACAACCACCTCACGGAAAGGAGAAAAAAAGCAACAGTCCCAAGACGTCTTCTGTCGATCCCCCACACTGGTGCCGAACTCGGCGTCCATGTGCCGTCGCCATACCTGTTGGGGCGCTTTGATGCTCGGTCAAGGGACCAATTGCTTCTTGCTTTTACTGCTTGGGCCACCCAAGATGAACGCGATGGTCTATGATCCTAGTTGCTTTTGAGTCTATATTTGATCTCAGTTAAGGAGAAGATCGGCAACAGGGGCCAGCAAGGGGAAAACCTTGGTTGACAGCTGGCATGGGAGGAGAGCTGTGCCGTGCACACCATCATTGAGACTTTTGATGGAGCTGGCCTTGTCTGGTCGAGACCTGCCGCCTTTTGCCGCCTTTTCCCGCCTTTTCCCACTCTTTTATTCCTCGGATTCGTGCGGAAGGAGCTATCCGATCAAGAACCAAGACCATTCTATGTGCATCTGCCGTCCCGCCGCCGCTAGGACCACTTTCACTATCACACTCAGCTCTTGGACTGCTCCCAAATCACACCTCCAGATCAGCAAACCCTCCCTCAGCACCAATGCACCCTTGCCGACATCTAGAAACGGTCTAGCCGGTGCAATGACCGCCAGCCGCCCGTGCAATCCCCGGCATCGCCATCCAAGCAGCGCATCCTCCCACTTCGAATCGAAAACACCCCGACGTTCCTTCTTTGCCCTCGATCCGATGTTCAAAGGCGGTAATCTCAAAGGTGAGTGACTGGGTTCCCTGGTATTCTGATCTGGGTTTCCCCATCCCGTCCAAGAGAGAGCACGGGCTGACGACGCCGCGGGACCGTGAGTTGCCCATTGTTTTACCAGCCTTTATCTAGCCGATCTCCATTTCGATGAGCGTGGTGTCATCTCGCCCATCCTTCGAGCGCCGTCAACGTGCCGACAGTCAATCGTGTGCGTGTCAGCCAATGAACAAGTTTTCTTTTCGGTATGTACCCCCACCTCCGCCTTGTTCAGCCCGCGATAGAGCACTAGGATATTGACATGGAAAAGGACGGATCACATTCGAGGGTGCAGCCACCATTACGAGAACCGACGTCAATTTTGCCAGCGGTCAGACCAAGGATGCTTCACGACTGCGAACATAGATCCGGAGGCGCACTTGTGGAACGAAGACGCCGGCACATGCAATCATTAGGGTAAGTCCCTATCCAGCACGATACTCTGGATATCAGCAGCTGACCTGTGCCCATCCCCTGCAATTCACCAGACTTCTCCTGCCCCCATCAGAGGATATGCAACTCACCATGGTTATGTTGTTGCTCAGGATAGTATCCGATTTCATGGTTATGCTGCTGCTCAGGATATTATCCGATTTGAGAGGGTATTGCAGCTCACTATGGTTATATTGTTGCTCAGGATAGTATACGATTTGGATTTGATCGAGGACGGCCAACTTCGATTGGATACTATCCTGAGCAACAATATAACCATGGTAAGTTGCAATGTCCTCTCAAATCGGATAATATCCTGAGCAGCAGCGTAACCATGAATTCGGATACTATCCTGAGCAACAACATAGCATGGTGAGTTGCAATATCCTCTCCGGTCGGATACTATCCTGAGCAACAATATAACCATGGTGAGTTGCAATATCCTCTGCTTGTTCTAGTCCCCACGCTGGTTCTGATGCATACAAAGAAACGCCCAGGCCCGGGCATGTTTGGAGCCTACAAGTCTTCCAGACGCCCTGGTAAGCCAGAACCACCCTAGCCATTTCAGCTTGTTTCAATGCTGACCTCCACCAGTCGCCGACCTCGACTTCCACGAGATGAATTTCCTCAAGAGAAACGCCGAGGGTGCCCAAAACAACCCGCTATCTGCATCAAGAGCTCGAGAAAGGAGGCGAGAGGACCGCATCGGCGAGGAGGACGGCGAGAGGACTGCATCGGCGAGGAGGACGGCGAGGGGACCGCATCGGCGAGGAGGACGGCGAGAGGACTGCATCGGCGAGGAGGACGGCGAGAGGACTGCATCGGCGAGGAGGACGGCGAGAGGACCGCATCGGCGAGGAGGACGGCGAGATGTTGCAAAGAAGCGGGGCGTGCAGTAGATTAGTTACTTGTAAGACCTCTGGTCTGGAAGCTAGGAAAGATGGCGAGTGTGAGACCCTCAGGCTCTATGTACCAGTGCTCGGTAGAGGAGCTACCCAGCACCGACCGGCCACGAGGGACGGCGCCGCCGGCCAGCGCGTCGAGGGCTCCTGGGCGCACGCATCGTGGCATGACTTTTTCTGATTTTCACCTCATCATCACGAAAAAGCGGCGCGGGTTAGCACTGACCAATGTAATCTCATGTATAAATAATGACCGAGTAGGAAATGTCCTAAGAGTTGGAGATCCTTGAGACCATTTACACAGGTGCTCTGCAAAACCATAGAGCGCTCGCCGAGGCAGTGGGTAACGAGCACCGGGGTCATAATGCTCGACCTGGGCAATGACAACAACACGGCTAGCTAATCACGATTCATCGCTATATAGCTTGGCAGGGAACTCCTTTGTTTTATTTACACCTCTGGAGGTGGTGTAAATAAAACAGAGAACAAAGCGTGGCGTATGCCACACCAAGGAATTAAAATATTTCTACTCCAAGTGCGATGGCTCGCAGCCAAACGCCAAATGCGGCGGGCTATTCTCCCGGAAAGGCTTCCTCGACTGAGCGTAAGTGATGGTTCGCTGCCCCCTCCCGGCATTTGTTATCGCCCAGTAACATAGCCCTCAGCACGCGGAGCCAGCTCGACCCGTGTTCCCCGCACACCGGCCATGCCTCGGCCGTGGAGATGGGCTTGGGCCCTGCAGGAGATCGATCAACTTGAGCTTGACCAGCTGCCGTCTGCCGCCCACTGGCAAGGGCGAGGGTAGCGATGCTCCCGTCCCTGTTCTCGCGCGCTGTCCATAACCTGAAGCCGCCGCCCTGTGCCTCGATCACTGCATAGACCCCCAGGTGGTGTGCGCTTGGAGGCGAATGCCGCCCACCTCGAGCCATAGGGAGCCTCTCGTCTTTGGCACTGGTCGTATCGTCCTGGACGAGAAGATCACCGAAAGGCACACATTCCACGCCGCCGACGGCCGGCGCGCGGGGCAGCACTTTGAACCAAGGCGAAGGCATTCGGCCCATCTTATGAGCTAGTGCCCATTTCCCCCGCAAGTATGCAACTGATCTTCTCGGTCCACACCTACGCAAGCTCAGCCCGGGCCGCAGCATCCGGGGAGGTCCCCAGAGATCGGACCACGACACTAACACTCGAATGAAAGACGTGTATTAGTGGCCCGTATGTCGGCCGATGAGGCCCTGGAAGCCAAGGGGCTCGAGCCCGACTTCTCGCGTGCCCCGCTGGCGCGTCAGGTCGCAGCAGGTGATGCTGTCGGGCTCAGCCTCCCCTAGGCCTTCCTTGTTGTCGGCGGGGAAGCCACCCGTCTGCGCTGGGCTCGGGCGAAGCTCGGAGTACTGGCTACTGGTCTCCAAGTGGTGTCAGCAAGTCACGCTGGCGTGTCGAGGTCCTCCATCGGTTGATGTGAACGCCACCTACGTCGGCTCAGGCTCGTTCGGTCAAGCGAGGTCCGCGATCTTGACGCTGGTAGCATGGTAGATCTTGGTGTGTCGGGCAGCCTCCCAGGGGAATAACAAAAGGCCCGAATCATGGTCGCCTTGGATGTTAGCGAAGGGATCCGTCGAGGCTACCCCGTGGGTATACCAGGATTCTATCCACCAAGCTGCTGTTGTTGCTGTCAGACTTGCCGACACTCTGGACAATACCGAGTGCCGGAGCCATTTATGGTGGCACTGCGCGCTAGCTGTTGGGCCAACTTCAATATGGATATCTAGCGCTTGTTCGACCGGAGAGGATTCGTAAAAGGAGCCGCGGAGGCTAGGGGTACGAAGGAGGTCGCTGAGGCTACTGTAGCGATCGAGGGACACATGGTAGGAGAGTAGTTGGCTGGAAGGGCGCTTGATGGAGGATGTAGTCAAGGGGCTCGACGGACTGATCAGCTTCCGGCTATGGTCAAGCAGGTATCATGTCAGCAGCCCTCTTCGTGCCAGTGGGGAATACAGTGACGCTCGCACCAATGCCATCCTTGGGGTTTCTATCGTGTACTCCTTATTGCTGTAGGCGTCGATGTCACTTCTGCTTCGTACGGAATGCTGCGCAACATGCGAACATCAGCCAAGAAAAAGTTTTGGGGAATAGAATTATGCTACGGCAAATCCGGTTGGCAAAGCTCTCTCAGGGCGTGGCGGTCAGAGAAAAGAGAAGAATGAGCGTATTTTCATTCAACTTCGTCGCTTGCTGTCATGGGCAGACGCGTTTGGGTGGAAGCTTCACTTAGGGAAAGTCGCTGTAGTCATCCCGAAGCCACGAAGTGGAACTTGGGGCTCCCATAGACGTGCGTGCCCCGCTTTCCGCCGCGGCTCCCTCGCTGAAAGAAGCCCTCCTTCTGTTTTGAGGAGAACGATATGGAGTGTGCTGCGTCTAGGCAGAATTCACAGCAGTCTGCATTCTAGCCCGGCCGTGGTGAACGTAGCTACGGCAGTGCTGCTAGGTGTGACTGGAGCTCCTGTCTTTTGCAATGATGCCCGCTCGGTGCCGGAGAACTCGCGCTTCGGATGCCACGAGGACGGTCTCTTTGGTGAGTGACCAATAACTGGGGCCAACCATTTCCAAAAGCACATAGCCTTGAGGCCATTCTTCTATCTCAGCTTGGTAGGTCTGGTCGCGCCCAACACACAATTGCCTGTTGTCGGTGCTTCTGGTTCCCCGTTGATTTCCACATCATTTATTTGAAAGCGGCTGGGCCTCAAAAAACATCTGCATCACTGCACGACCTCGAGACAGAAAGTGCTTTTGGTTTCCGCATGCGCCCACACTACCGGATTCGGAGTGATTAAAACAGCCATGAATTAGCCGGAGGGATACGGAGGTGGAGGACGAGACCTTCAGTGTGCTCCACAGCCAGAGACGAATGGAGGCGCTCGCGGCACCGTTGGCGAACAATACGAAAGGGCAAAAGGGGTAAGCGGCGAGGTCCCTGAACGTTCGTGGTCTCAGGTAACTACCTAGGTGCCTGTTGTCACTCCAGGACGTCAAGACATTTATCACGGAGTTCGACGCGGTATTCTTCTTCGCGGCGCCAACCAGGAAGTTTAATGTCCAGCCTAAACCGGATGGCGGGGGGTGTTAAGGTGGGCGAACACCTCAGATAAGGTAAAAGCTTAAAAAATTACCCAATTCAAAAAAAATAAAAAAAGTTTACATTTTGCGAATACATTATATAAATATATTTAAAAGTATTTATTATTTTATTAATTTATTCTCTTTTATTAATTTATTCTCTTTTGTTAATTTATTATCTTTTATTAATTTATTATATTTTATTAATTTATTATATTTTATTAATTTATCATATTTTATATATTTTAATATTTAGTAATATTATTTATGTTGTTATTATTATTTATTATATTGTAATGGTTTTATTTTTATACGTTTTTATTGTTTTTTAAAAGAAAATTAAAAAAAAGCGCATGCGTTGCATATGCAGTGTATATCATTTTTATCCCTTTCTGCTACCTTAGCTTAGCTAACCCCTGATGCTTTCCTGAGCCAGAAAATTGTAAACATACCATCCCCACTCATCAAACCCCGAGCAGGACGCATTTTGTATGAGGTGGGGCCTAGGGCACGTGAGTGCACGGCCCACCCCGATGCAATCTGCACCCGTGGTAACAAGAAATAGACATGCCACTTTCCCAATCCGGTATCGCCAAGCGTGATACCTTACACACATTTCCTTCCGGTCTTATCGCCATGGCCTGCACTCCGGCCCAGGCAGCGGCCCAACAGCGGCCCTCGCCGCAGGCACCGCAGATCGACGGTAATAATATCTCGCGGCGTCAGGTGGAATCATTGCTAACAGTTGGCAGGAGAGCAACGCCTTGGCAAACGCAAGACCCAGTGCGTCCCCGACACAGACCTGAAGCGACAACGAACATCTCACTACACACACCCTACCGAGAGCACCATCGGCGAGCCAGACCCGATTTCGTTTTGGGTGGAGGAAGGGCGCTGGCCAGAGGACCTTTTCAGACCCGAGGAGGTTCCCATCATGCAGCGTCTACTAGCGCGGAAGAAACTCCCGTCGAACTCCGCCACTTCCGAAACGCCGAGCGACCAAAGGCCACGAGAGGAGAAAAGCGCACCGTACCGAGATCCGCGCTACGAGACGCTGCTGGCGACCAAGGGCAGTTTTATGGACGAGTCACCCCTAGGAATCACGCAAGAGAGTGAAAGCATCTGCACTACACTACTCGAATCGGAAGTGACAATTCCCAACAACACGCCGTTCCGCGATGAGGTTTTCAAGCAAACCTACATGAAGGTGCGGGGCAGGAACGAGGCTAGAGTTCTGCGGGATATCACACCTTGGATTGTCCCCCCGGCAGAAGTCCTTGCCACGGACGGCGCCACTCAGCTCGAATGCCTGATCGAAAGCGTCAACGAAGGCTGGAACAGCTCGATACCCTTTGTCAAAACGCGCCCTCAGCCGGACTACTCGGTCGGCTTCAAACGAGAGGCATTCACCAAAGACCAGCTCGCCAAATTGTCGCCATTTATTGGCGATTTCCTTTTCGAGGACCAATCGCTTTTTATGGCTACGTACTTTATGTACTTTCCATTCCTGACATGCGAGGTAAAATGCGGCGCCGCGGGATTCGATATCGCAAACCGGCAGAACGCCCACAGCATGACACTTGCGGTGCGAGCCGTCGCCGAGCTTTTTCGTATTGTAGGACGTGAGGGTGAAGTCCACCGCCGGGTTCTCGCCTTTTCCGTTTCGCACAACCACGATTCGGTACTTATTTACGGCCATTACCCCGTGATAGCCGGAGAAAAAACGGAGTACTACCGTTATGTGATCCGCAACTTCTGTTTTACTGAGTTGGGCGGCAAGGAGAAATGGGCGGCGTATCGATTCACGAAGAACGTTTACGACATCTGGATGCCCACTCATTTCAAAAGCATCTGCTCCGCCATTGACCAGTTGCCGTCGGCCATTGACCAGTTGCCGTCGGAGTTCGTTTAGTCGCTTTTTCAGGCGATGGGGCTTTTTCAGGAGCTCCGAACGGGATGCGCAGTCGAGCATTGCTAAACGGCAAGGGCCGATCCCAGACGTCGCAGGCAGCAAGGAGGAGAGAGGATTAGATGGAGAGTTAGGCCTCGTTTGGACGATGGTATGTCAATGTGTATTTTTAGAGGAGGGTTGGCGCATCAGAGGCATCATGATTGTCACACGGGGATCAATCCCTCATGCCGACAGTAGGCCGATTGGGCCAACGAACGGCCTATCAGGAGACCATGATATGAAGGAGCCCTCTGGTTGGGTCGGCTCAAAGGATCACAAGTCCCTCGCAGGTGCCAACCGCCCTCGGCGGGAGGCGCGGCAAGTCCTACCCCTCTTAGATACGTACCCTAGGACCCTCCTGTAGGCCTTCAGAAGGCCTATATAAGGAGGTCCCCCTCTCGAGGTCCCTCGAGGAGATTCTGATTCCTTAAGCATCTCCTTTGAGGCCTTGAGAGATTATCAATGCATTGAGACTCCCTCTTCAAGCCGATCTTTGATCCCCTTGTAACAATGATAGGCACGAATGGAGTTGATAGAGACTCGCTCTAATGGAAATGATTCCCTAGGATGCGCTAGCGTTGTGGTGGCTTGGCTACAGGATTGATGCAACGGTCGCGTTCCTCGGTATACTACCAACCCTTTTCTGTCACAAAGGAGGCTATCACTAAGGGCTGACACACTGTTCCAGGCCTTGGCACGGAAGATCTGCACGGGCACGGAAGATCTGCACGGGCACCGGTGCTCCGCACCGGTGCCGCACAGGGTAGATGCTTACCGAGCACTTGTCGGCGATGACAGGGGTGCGGTAGCGAGTACCGCACCCACGAGAGAGGGGATCGTGTATAAGGAGGGCACAGGGCCCTCGGCCCTGTACTCGTCCTCGTTTCTCTTTCAGAGATCTAGATCAACATACAATAGGCCCTATCTTGCACCGTTTGTCCGTCATATTTTCTATATGCGCAACAGAGGCCAATGCTTCTTTATTGACCAGTGTTCGATCCCAACGCCGAGGCTGAGTCTGAGGCCGTCCTCCGTGTACCCAAGCGTCGAGGCCAGCATGTGGTTATTCCACTAAATTAGCTGGAAGATGTTCTGCTGCTTTATGCCCTTGTGCTCAGTAGGGAAACAGGCATCTAGCTTGCCGCTCGCGGTTTGCTGGTCAAAGAGCGCGCCAAACTCCCAGTCCGGCTCGGCCATGTTAAGGCCGTGCTAGGCCTCGAAAATCAGTGGAAGGATTGGGCTAGGGAGGGCGCAAGGGTCGAGGGTGGAGGGCAAAGACCATGATGAAAAAGATGCGAGTATCGGGCCGCCACCCGTTCCGCTCGCGGACCTGTCATGATTGCTGACTTTCTAGATATATACCAGGCCACATATCTGAGCCGATTACAGCTGCAGAGGGGTAAGAGATTCGACCCCGTGATAGGCTAGCCACCTGGTCAGAAACGAAATTCAACTAACATACAGAGTGGCAGAGGTGTGGTTTCTTTATGGATACCTAGAGTTGTTCCATCACCCATGTCGCAGATGAACGTTATCTGGCTAGTCTATAAATGAGTTATGAGTTAGTCGGTAGGGAGCGGTGATGTCGAGTTGTTTATCACTCATTTCAGTCGGTCAATATTATATAATTCCAGATGACTGGGTGTGTGAAGGCGATATGGAAGACAGGTGCATCGCGCCATCAAGGCATGGCCATAGCTCCTAATATTGAGCGTCTCGAGGCAAACGTCGTGTCAGACCGTGATGGTGTAGGGCATCACTTGTGTATAGGAACGAGATAGAAAGATTCCGGGGGGACGTCGTTTGTAATACGAATATGGTTGGATCTGGCTTGTGTGTGCGTGCGAGGCGGGCGGAGGAAGGCCAGAAGGGTAGGGTAGCACGTGAGTGTAATCCCATAGCGCGTACCGATCACGAGATCGGTAGCTATACACAGGCAACGCCTGCTCTACCCTGTCAGATAAACATCTTCCTCCTTTTACACATGGATCTACAACTATCCCTCCTTAATCGAGACGATCGTCGTTTGCCATCTTTGAGTCATTTTCCGAGCCTACAAACATGAGTACCCAGCTCCTACCAACAAATATCATCGTGGCACTTGGAGTAGTCGCGGCTCTGTTCAGCGAGAAGGCGGGTCGATGAGCTCCATCCTCTTTTCGGCGCCGTTGCAGAGGTTGATACAAAGTTCTATGTGTGTATGTATGTATGTATGTATGCATGTATGTATGTATATGTGTGTGTGTGTGTGTGTGTGTGTGTGTGTGTTGTGTGTGAAAAGTGGAAGGTTTGTAGGAGGCCAAAAATACTAGTTTGTCTTTATTTTAACAATGTCCATCAGATCAGGCAGGTTCTCCTAATCGGTCTGCCTCCAGGATTGAAAGACATCTTAACACACCGGGGCGGCACACCCAGCAGATGGTAGGAACCACCCGGCTAGGTTCATGGGCGCGATGGAGTGATAAAAATCACGCGCATGGTAACTCCGGTGCTTTGCGGCAGTTTTGGACAGACAGTGGGCGGCATTTGAATAGAAGTAGCTGCTGGCGAGTAAGGGCCGGTGAGACTGACCCTGCTGGTTCTGCTCGCCGGCTTCGTTTGCTGCTCATGGGAAGCGAGGCTCGTTCGTAGAGCAATCAGCCAGTGTCGGAATGCCCAAACTTCGGACCATTAAACTATTGGTCAAGCCCACTCGCGTGGATTGACACACGCGTCCCGTTGCCGTCCCAGTCAACGCCCAGGTGACCTTCGCAGGCTAAGTTGGACCACCCGTGGCTGCTGTCTTGGGATTAAATAAGGGACCTCTCCCGCACATGCTTGGGCCTGCCAGTGCAGCACGTGTTGCCTGGTAAACAGTGCTTATTTTTGTGTCTGCAAAACGCGCCGGTTGTCCACTATTCCTTTTTTGATTTTTATATCTAGCAAAAATAAACCAAAGAGCTCGCTCAACCCTCCACAACCAAATCCCCAGCCCAACCCTCCACAACTCCAAGATCTCGGACAGCAGTTCAAGCAGTGTGTGGCCATATCTATCGCGAACATGCCTCCCATCGCACCTGCGAACCAGCCTGCCAATGCACCTGCCGACAACATAGCACAGCTACTGGACGACCTTCGGCACAACGTTCGCAACGACATGGCACAGATACTGGTCGACTTTCGGCACGACTTTCGGAACGACCTTAAGACGCGAGCAGATGCCAGGTATGTGATTGGTCCCATTATACTTACAATTGAAAGATTTATGTGATAACAAGAGCCGCCAGAGATTTCAATGCGATCGCGCGTGGATGGAACAGCACAGTCAACCGACCAGAGTGGGACCTGCATCCTCTCAAGGACCGAAACACGAACGAGGATATTGAGGAGTTCCCAAGGACGGTGGGCGACATCGACCGGATGAACGGTAAGATCCCGGTTTTTGAACCAAAGGGGTTGCGCCATGCTAATCTGTGGTCGGGATTATTTGGGCAGCGCGTGACATTGGTCGAGTCTTGCGTGCACTGGGTCAATCTTGCCAGGGAGGAATGCCTGAGAAGCGGAGGCGGCTCAAGATTGCCATCGGGATTGTTTTGCAGGCAGCGTGAATAGCTTCACAGCCCGAGGGAAGGCCGGAGTGGCTAACAAAAGGAGGGACAGGGAGGGGCAACACACGCAGCCCGCTTGGGTAAACTGGCTCTGCCAGTCTGTCGACAGAGCTACAGAGCCAGGCCACCCAAGTAAGGCATATCTAGTGTACGTACCTCGGGCCCAACCTTTTGTCCTAGATAGATAGCTTTGATAGATGCACTGGCATCAGTCAACCTAAGTTAGCTTCCAAGTACCCCTTGGAGCAAGCATCCAGACCTGCACCCAAGATCCTTTGTAAATCCCCTCAATTTCCACGTTGGAACTACTTCTACATACAGAAACAGGCTATCGATACTTCCGTATTCCGCACAGTGCCTTCCCATTATTCCGAGCATCCCACACTACGCATCCTCGTCACGCAACCATCCCGCAGGGCGTGTAATCGTATGGGTGCGGACAGTTCGTACCGGCGAGCCACTGAAGCAGCTGGAGAGCCTCGTTGCTGGCCTTTTTCCCGCCGCGGAACCAGGCTTGGGGACAGCCCTTGTGGTCACTGATGACGAGAGCGCACGTGGGGTCTTCCACGTTCCAGAGGGTAAACGACCAGGTGCATTTGTAGCCGTCCTTTTTCGTACACGGTGGAGCCTCGAAGGTGGCGATGATGCGCTGCAAGAGCCACGATAGCGAGATCAGGTCCGACACCCTCGTCGTCTGTGTGTACGCGCCGCGCAGCCAACTCTTTTCCTGGATGTCGACCCAGAAGCCGTCGGACTCCTTGCCCTCTGTCCGGAGAACCATATCGCTGTCGCCCCAGGACACTGTAGCGCCTGACTTTGGTGGGCCGTCTATGGTGAACTGGTCACATGGCACAGCCCACCGTGTCGAGAAGTGTTTGCGGAGGCAGTACGCGTCGTGCCCCAGATCGACGCGACCATCGGCGTCCATCTCAATCGAACAAGAGCAAGCGCCGCTAATGTCCCGACACGGCTCCCAGCGGTCCTGTCCATGTATCTTTGTCTTGGGATATTTAGGCTTGGCCTTGCTGGGTAGGTTATCGTCGTCCTCATCCGCCACACAGAGTAGTGCCCCCCGCAATACGGCCCGGTCCGTGGCCGGTAGTCGGCCAGTTCTGCGGTAGTCGTAAAGGTCTGCCGGTCGCGGGTCGCAGCCTGAATAGAGGAGTCGGCTGTAGCCTAGCAGGAGGCTCTTCATGAGGCCCTCTTTCTCGCCCTCCTCCACTGATGTGTCCTCGGGTAAGCATAGCTATCCAGCGAGAGTAGTGAAAGGGAGGAAGAACATACAGTCGTTGAACCGTTGGATTGGATCGTCCGCAAACGCGACCGTCTTTGCATTGTTCGTGGCCGCCCTCGCATTCGCGATGCGCTCTAGGTGGCTTCCTTGCTGACTTGAGAGCTTGCCCTTCGGAAGGCTGGGAGTCTTCTTCGAACGTCTACATTTCAACGGAGCGTTTCTGCCACCTTGGCGGTTCTTCGAAACTCCGGCCATAGTCGCTATCGCCTTTGAGGCCCTCTTACTGGCCGAACGCGTTGAGTTTCGCTCACGCATGACGCGAATAAATCAGTCTAATAGGTTATGGTACAGATAGAGGCAGAAGGAGGAATATCAGCAAGGCCAAGCCGAGACGAGAGGCGAGCTGAGAGCAGTGTCAAGAATAAAAAGGCATCAAGCGGGCTCGACAAAGCACGTCATGCGGCGCCCTGGAAAGGAAGGGTTGGGACATGTAGGCACGTACACCAACGCGACGGGCACGGCTGGGGCAACGCCATACTGCGTCTTGAGGAATGGCATGATGCGCCTCGTTCTTCTGCAACGCGTTGTACGGTCGAGAATCGACGAAAATCTGGACATTTTTTACTTGTTCTTTTTCCTGTTTTTCTTTTTTATTCCTATTCTTATCCCTGTTCCTACCGCATTGACGATTTTGGTCCCTGGGACGTGTACCGTGCGCGCAAAAGAGCCCCAATTTAAGGGCCGTTGTCCCACTCACTCCCGAAGGAGCGAATCCTTCTGCACTTCGCCTTAACCTCGCTGCCGCCGCTGCTGCCATTCCGCGCCGCTCAATATCGTCGCCGTCGCCAACTCGTGCCGCCCGCCGTCTCCTTGATATGGACCTGTTCGACCCGCTTACTCCCCCAGCCGAAGCGCATGGATTTGCGCAAACATCCGCCAAGCTCAAAACAGTTCGGTTCCGCCATCCGGCCTACCCAGACCTGGTACCATACCTTCTCAACCTGGGCGGTGTCGATGGCGTCGACTTCGACCTCGCCCTAACCGCCTGCTGCATCGTTGCAAACACGCCCTGGGATGATGGATACCTGGCTACCAAGGAGCCCGGCGGGGGGCTGCTGGAAGCCGATCGACCATCAGACGGATTGTTGCGCGGCACATGCTACTTCTTTTGCATTAAAGGAGAGCCGACAACATGTAAGACTGATACCTCCAACTGCCGGCTGCCAACTGCCAACTGTGTCCTCCCCAGCTGGCACAGCTAACACGGCCTAGATCGATACCCTGTCCTCCCTAGCTTCCATCACTGGCGCTTTCCCCACGACAATCTGCCGCCGTTGTGGCGACAGCTACACATGCCAGGACGATCCAGCGAGCACTCCACCAAAGGGCCGGCGGCGGTTAAGGAAAGGGACGTCACCTGTCGCTTGTCTGGCTACATCGACGGCACCGAAGCGGCGCATCTTGTGCCAGCGGGGGAGAAGAACTGGTTCAGCGCAAACGATATGTTAAGGTACGTAATGCTGGTACCGAAGCGGTTGTCAGCGAGCGTGCTTGCAGGGCCTAACTGGTCGCAGATATTGTCCTCCCAGCGCGTCGGCAATAAACGACGAGAAGAACATCCTGCTCCTCCGCAAAGACATTCACTATCTCTTCGACGCAAAGCGCTTCGTCTTCGTGCCCAAGCGGCCCGCCGCCCCCAATCCTATTACCCTCCCGACGACCTCTTTTCCGGTAGAGGCACACGCACACATACACCCGACCCCCGACTTGGATGCCCAGACCAAACTCGCGGCGTACGTGCTGCTGCCAGAGGTGTTTCCTGAGCTCGTTGGCCTATATCACAACCGATTGCCGCAACCCCTTTGCGGCATTGGCGTCGAGTTCTTGTTTGCTCGCTTTGCTTGGGCGCTTTTTTCCGATACCCATATGCCGATTTTCGGGTCTGATTTTAAAATCGCCGTGCTGTTGTTTGACAAAACGACGGGTGCGTTCGAAACACGGCATATGCGGGGGGTAGATACCAAAGCACACACCCGGTTGTTCGACCGGCCACAAAGCAAAAGTGCCAGCCCAAGAAAAAGGTCTTTGTCGACTTACTCGGGCAGCTATCGAGACGAAGACGATTTTTGGGACGAGACGCGGGAGCCACCAAGAGGGCGGACATTGAAGCGCTCCTGGGATACGTGTTCGTCGCCAAGCCGCGACGCACCCGGACCGGGCTTGTCAAAGTGCTCAGTGGCACTTGCAAGCCACCCAAGTCCGACTACCACAGTCGAAGGCGGCATTTCCCACAATTTCTCGCCTCCCAGGAAGCGCATGCATTTGATGGGAAAAGAGACATGAGCCGTAGTCCTGTTTTTTTCGTATCGCCGCCAATATGGGATGAGCAGAACTGGCTGTCGGGCTCGGAATAGGAACAGGACTAGGATAGGAATAAGAATAAAAACAAAAAGAACAGGAAGAAGAACAGCGCCGCTCTCCGGCGACGGCCAACCACCTCGGCAGAATTAGAAAACGACAACGACCACCAAACGCTGCGGGCACCGTGCCAAGAAAGATCAGGTACAGCCCGCTCTCGCCGCCGCGCCGAGATGGGTCGCCCTTCTTTTCCAGAGTAACGGTGGCGGCTCAATGTCTGGCCAGGAGGACGCTTCTGCCTAAGACATGGAGCATCGTAGCATCCAGTGCCCACACGTCCCCAGGAAAGCCACGTTTTCTGTGGGTCTTGCACCCTCAGGCGGCACGTACCGCGGCGAACCCCTGGCATTGTCGGTATTCTTCTCCGGTAAAAATGACCGACGGGACTGCGGGCAGCGGGGTAGGCAATATTTGCTAGGTCAATATCGCGTGGCATACGCCGTGGTCCAGAAAGTGGAGTAAGAGAGCCCGGTGATGATGGAGAGAAAGGGGAACAAACTCTAGGTGAAGAGCGAACAGCCGGCCGTCCAAGACTCCAAGGAACATGATGTTTTCTAGATTTGCCCACCTAATCAAGTCGTAAGGGCGTTTGATTATATTTGCTGACTTTTGCCACGATATTCCCTGAGTGCCCCGCGGCTATCGCACGCTTGCGCAAAAAGTGAAGCTCCAACCGCCAAGTGGGAGCCCTTTTCCGTCGACAGCCTCGCGCAAAAAATGTCCGATTATATAAGTTCTCCTTCTCCGTCCCTTGGCTTGTTGACACGCATGCTAGCAAATAGACAGAGCCAGCAGCCGCAGACGGCGCCGGCGGACATAGAGTAACTTTTGTCGTGACTGCCAAGGCCGCTCAAAACGGCGGCGCGGCCCAGCCAAATTCGGCGGCCAGAACACCACTTTCCTGACTTTGTCTATATACTATACAGCCTCCTACCATCACGTAGAAAGATGATCTGTTTGTCGCTTGCCCATCAATAAATACTTCCTGTCAGACCTAGGTGCTGAACTGTGACACGGACTTCATCACATGAAGCTGCCTGATCGGAACCAAGAGAGGATTGATGTTCGACGACTGAAGGCTACAGCCCAGCCCAAGGTGTCACGAAGCAGTGGACCTGACCTGGGTCTACGAGGCCATGCCGGTCTCTTGGCCCCGATACTCTGAAACCCCAGACCGGCTCCTCTATGGCCCACCGGTGCGCGACGGAGCAGCTACCGAGCACCAGTATATAGAGCCCGAGGGTCTGTCACGTCACCCTCAATAAGTACGGTTTTTTCTTTTTTTTCTTTTTTTTCTTTTTCATAGCTCCTGGAGTAGAGGCCTATCGAATGGCCCGCCTACGGCATGCTACGCTCCTTTGCAAGACAAAGCCAATTCGACCAATAGGCCTAGTCGCCTACATGAACGATGGCGTTTCCCATGGGCTGCTCGAGAGATCCTATGTTAATTAAACAGGCCTTGAGGCCGCGTGGGAAAGGGCCTCGATGTATTGTCCTTCCATAAGCAGCCCATCTCACCAATTACTTGCCTGGCCCACACAGTCATGTCTCATGTTGATCAACACGACCTCTGCATCTCACCCAACCGACCACGCGTGTCTGCGCCCGGGTTTCACGCTGCTGACGCTCCCTCTCGATGACCGTTGCGCAAAGGACGGGGAGTCCGACCGACTTTGACTTTTCCGAGCCCTCGCCGCCTGCGCTCGGGGCCGAGGTTGCCGCAGAAAGGGCCTGGCCATCTCTCCCAGGAAGGATTCGGCGGTGTCACAACGCTGAGAGGTCCAGTCCACCGAGCCCGGAATGTCACCGCTAGGTACCAAGCAGCTTCTAGACCCTGATTGGGCTGGCGCCGGGAGCGTGGGAGGCTATACCTTGCCAAGGATCGTGAGCGCTGGGCGGAGTAGGAAGCCAACCAGCGCCTGGCAGAGGATCGTCGGCGCTGTGCACCGCAGCCGCGAGTGAGATCAGGTCATGTAGCTCCTCCTGTGGGATACTGCAGATCCCAAGTCCTCTGCTCTCACCGAATGTCCTCACCAGGACGGACGAGTGGTGGTTCGTCTGTGGCATCTCGGGGTATAAAATCCCCTTGAGCTGCTGTCGACCTTGAAACCAGAAGCACTCTCCTGTCCTCTCACCCACGCGCAGTCTCTTGCTCCGTCACAGGTCCTCAACTTTAGCTTATCACATTATCCACACTTCCAACCACCACCAACTCTCTCCCCCACCCAGTCCAGCCCAGCCAACATGATGTTCAACGCCAACCTCTTCCTCATGGCCGCCACCGCCCTCGGCGCCCTGGCCGTCGCCAACCCGGCCCCCATGGCCATGGGCGTCGAGGTGCTCGAGCAGGATGGCTCGCTCATGGTCCGCGAGGTGGTATGTGGCACCTACTTACTCCCTCTCCTTTGGCAGAGACGTGTGTGTGGCCAAGCAAGCAAGCAAGCAAGCACATGTCGAGAGAATGCTGACGACAACACCAACCCGCAAAAAAACAAAACAGATCACCGAGGGCGCGCCCAAGGAGAAGCGCTGCCGCGAGTGCGTCCACGTCGGCAACAGGTGCACCATCGGCGACGGCAGCTGCTACGCGAAGGAGCAGGCCTCGTGCACGTGGTGCGGCAACCACTGCAAGTCCATCTGCATCCCCCGGTAAGTCCTTGAACATGGGGAGAAACCCCCCATTCCCCTCTTCTGGCTTCGGCCCCCTAGGCATCATGATGGCGGTGCTGACGCATGTTCGCAGGGGAGAGTCTTGCACCAAGTGGTGCCTGTAAAGCGGCAGCATGGCAAAATTTGGTCCAAGAAGGCCACTTGCTGCTCGGGCCTAGGAGAAATCACATCAGTCTGCAGAGCAAGGAAGTTTCCCCGACGGTGTAGTAAAAGGGAGACTTTAACGGTCGTCTGAGGATTTAGGGGAGGAAATGCCCTGTCGCAGGTTGTTTGGTCTTTGGAGTTTTAGTTCACGACAACACGCTCGTTATAACATATACACACACTTGCAGGAATCCAACATGTTGCTGCTCAAGTCGTCAAAATAGCCTTGCCAGCCATTTAACCTCCTTCGTTTCACGTTGGCAATAGAGTGAGCATCACGGGTAGTTGGTCTTCTAGTTACAAGTTCGAATTGATAGCATCGCTAAAAAAAAAAAGAAAAAAAAACATCATAAAAAAACAACCTTAAAAAGTCCCCGCGAGATATGGGTCATCCATTACCTTAAAAAACAAACAAAAAAAAAACAAACAACGAATGGTTTACAAAGAAGGGATATGTGACCATACAATACAGATGAGAGTTGGCAAAAGACGCCTCCGCACGCTCAGATGTACATGGCGCGGTGGTCTCCCGACTCCTCCTGCTGGCCGGTGAAGCGCTCGATCTCCATCAGCGACTCCCTGGTCACCGACGGGCGCGTGCGCTCGAGCGCCGTCTTGAAGTGCTCCAGCTTGATGACCCTCTTCTGGGTCCCCGCCGCCTTGTCCTCGGCGTCCTCGGCGTCCGCCGCGCCGCCGGCGCTCTCGGCCTCGGCCTTGGCCTTGTTGTCCGCCTCGAGCGCCTTGTGCGCCGCCATGGCGGCCTGGACGCAGAGGGTGCGGATGTCGGACCCGGAGAAGCCCCTGGTCATGGAGTCGGCCGCCACCTCGTCCAGATCCAGCTTCTCGTCGAGCTTCTCGTCCTTGAGGTAGATGTCGAGGATGGCCCTGCGGCCCGCGGCCGTGGGCATGCCGATGTGGAGCGTGTGCGGGAGCCGGCGGCACACGGCCTCGTCGATGTCGCCGGGCCGGTTGGTCGCCACCATCAGGAACGGCGCCTTCTTACGGCTGACCAGTCCGTCCATCTCCATCAGGAACTGGCTCATGGCCTTGCGTTGCCAATCGCGGTCGCGCGACTGCCTCCGTCCAAAAACCGAGTCGCCCTCGTCCAGGAAGATGACGCATGGTGCGAGCTTGGTGCCCAGTGAAAAGAGAGCCTTGATGCGCTTCTCAGTCTCACCCACCCACATGTTCTGAATGTCCGCCGGCGTCGCTACAATAAGGTTGGTACCCGAAGATGCCGCGACAACGCGCGCGAGGTGCGTCTTGCCCGTTCCTGGCGGGCCGTACAGGATGGCTCCGTTGACAGCTTCTTTGGCCAGCAGACCGTATGGCTTGCTCGTCCGTAGGGAGAGGAGCTGCTTGAGGCTGTCCATGAGGGCTTGGTCCATGTGTATACCCTGAGCGGCAGAAGAGACGGCAACTGTGGTGACGGCAGGCAGGGGGTTAGCGGTGGACAAATAACAAGGGGTCGAGGTAAGCCTCGGAGAGGACACCCGCATACCAGTATCGACGACGCAGTCAAAATATTCCTTCTCGGCATCGGAGCAGCTGTCGGAGATGCTGGCCAAAAGGGACTTGACCTTGGACTTCTGGGCCGGGCCTCCAAACTCGACCTGCTCCTCGTCGCTGTCTCCGTCCTCGCCGACAAAGTCCTCGTCACCGGCCTCGTTCATCTTGTCGAGAACTGCCTGGTTCTTCATCACTCGCTCCATGACGTCAAAGACGTCGGCAGGGGTTACGGAGCCGGCTCTAACGGCACGCGCAGACACCTGGCGCACGACGCGAGCTGAAAGGGTATCGTCCCAGTCCGCGAGCGTCTGCCTCCTATGATCGTCCTCCAACTCGTCGACGACCGACTCGCCAGCGGCGGGGCCCGAAGGATACAGCGCGTCGAGCTTGACCGCCGGGTGCTGGTCCAGAGTGACGCGGATGGAGCGTCGGAGCAGCCGCCACTTGACCCTGGGCCTGGTCCGGGCGCCGTACTGCTTGAGGGCCGCGCTGGCGCGCTTGGTGTTGCGCGGGGACACGTTGATGACAGTCGAGTCGTCGAGGCCCAAACCGTCCCACGCCTTGCTTATGCCCGTTGTGGGCCTGTTCTCCGAAGAGCTGTTGGACACGGCAGTGCCGACGACGACGACGGGGAGACCACTCTCCCTGCGGACCTTGTTAACGCCCTCAACCAGTCGCTGCATCGGTGTCTGTTTGCCCACAGCCTCCACGTTGCGGAAAAGTATAATCAGCGGCCGCGGTTGGGCAGGGGAGGCATCCTTGCCGTCAGCGCTCGACGAATTTGTGGTGGCCTCAGCGGCACTGGTCTCAGCGTCAGCGGCTTGCTGCGAGTCCGAGGTGGTGGCGTTGGCCGGCTTGGGCACTGAAGCAAACGCCTCCTTGATCGCTGCTTGCAGAATCTTTGTTGCGGCTTCAAATGCGTCCTTGACGCCGGCTTGCAGGATATCTGCTGCGTCGACAGAGTTCCCGGCCGCAGCTGCCACAGCCTTCTCGCCAATGGCGGCTGCGCGCGTCTCGGCCTCGGCAGTCTTGTCCGCCGACGATTTGGCAGATGCGTCGGCCAAGCTCTCTTTCTTGCTGGCGGGGCCTTCGAGGATGCAGCTCACCGCAGCCTTGGCCTTCTCGTCGGGCTTTCCATAGCCAAAGAACTCGCCGACCAGCCGCAGCGGCGACGTCAGATACTTGGGACCTACCGCCCGAACCTCGTCAGACTCATGCCAGAACTGGTAGCAGAGGTCCTCCAGATCGTCAAGCTCCATCATGACGATGTCGGCTTGGACATCACGAGCAACTTGACGCACGACCTCGTCGAGGAACTCGAGGGAGCCGTCCTTGGGGGATTGGATGAGGAAAGAGGACTGGGTGATCCAGGACTCGGGTGGGCTCTTCTTTGTGCTGTCGTCAGAGCCAGACTTGACTGGGGGCTGGAGGGCTGCAGACAAAAGATCAAGCGCCTCGTCGTAGATGTCCTGGTGTAGCTGATAGACGGGCCTTTGCGGGGAGGGTTTGTCAACCTCGGTCTTCTCCAGATCAGCCGCCGCCGCCGCCGCCGCCGCTTTCTTACAGCTACACATCTCCTCCACAGCCTCCGTCTTTGTTGTGTCGAAGCTGGGCTCTGCCGGAGGAGTTGTGGTGGCTGCACTGTCAATCGACTGGTCGTCCTTCTTGCCAGGAGCAGCCTTGTCCTCCGACTTGACATCTGACTCGCTTGCTGGTGTAGCCTCGGTGCCGTCGGGAGCGCTTTCAGATGGGCTCTCTAACTCGCTGTCGACCTTGCTCTCAGGCTCGGTCACGAGCTCGCTTGGGGGTGAACTGGTCGGTGTGGTTCCGGGCGTGTTTTGGGCAGAGCTCTCGGCAGAGCTCTCGGCAGAGCTCTCAGTAGAACTCGCGGCGGAGCTTTCAGAAACGCTCTCAGGCTTGGTCTCCTCCACCTCGGGCTCACTGTCTGCCTTCTTGACGGGCTTGGGCTTGAAGAGCTCCACGGCTGACTGGCGCTTGACGAGGTCTTCGTAGAGCACCACATTGCTACCAAGGAACCAGTCAGGCAGCTTCAGCGCGTTTGCGCCGGTTGTGGCCGCCGGGGGAGGAGGAGGAGGAGGAGGGATGGTCGTGGTTGTGGCAGTCGTCTCCGGCTTGGGCGGCTCGGACTTTGCGGTATCGTCGGTTGTCTGGTTGGCATCGGGCTCGGCGTTTTCTGCGACACCATCTTCCTCCTCGCCGGCTGCCGCAGCGTCATTGGCCGCAGCCGCGGCCTGGGCATCAGTCTCTGCCGAGGGTGCAGTCTGGTCGGTGGGGGTTTGAGGTTCCGAGGTCGATGCGCTGTCGGCAGCCGCCTGGTCTTCGGCCGTGGTTTCGGGCTTGGCGACCTGGTCATCCGAACTAGGCTTCTCCTCGGATGGCGGCGTCTTTAGGGCCGACTTGTCATTGGCCGATTTCTTGTTGCCACTCGAAGCATCGTCGGTAGGCTTTTCGGTCGTGGCAGAGCCCGAGGCGGCGGGCTTTGTCGCACCAGGTGCCTGTGTCGTCTGGGCGGCTGTTTCAGCAGCCGGCTTGATGGAACATGAACAGTGCTTGCACGTCTCTGCTGGAGCGACGGGGTCGGCGGCGGCCGGACTGCCTGCCTGCTGCTTGGCCGGCACCGCGTCGTGGCTCCCCATATCCTCGGGGACGACCTCTGGCGGGTCTGGCTGCAGAGCCATGTCTTCTGTTTGGGCTGATGCCTTTGCTGCAGTGGCCAGGACGGAGCTGGCAATGAGACACAACAGCGAGAACAGGTCGGCCTGGTTTGGTGGCATCGCGGCCTGTGTTTGAGTCGACGCTGCTGCAGAGCCCGTGGATTTCACCATGTCGACCGACTGCGGCGTTACTTGCTGCTTGCCGACTCCCGCTTGGGACCCGGCCATCTTGCCGTGCCGCCGAGCGTGGAATTTAGCGTTGAAGTGGTCATTAAGGTCTTGCTCCAGATATGAAAATGGAGTGGTCGCGGGGGTGGTGAAGACGGAAGCAGCGCTGGAGGAGCCATCGGGCCCGCCGTCGGTGTCTTTCGCCATGGAGCCGGTTGGATGATCCGAATGGAGGTTGCTCGCAGGTATGGAGGACAGAGAGAATCAAGGCGGGGTGTAGATGAAGAACAAAGTAGCGGGAGACTTGGACGCGTCTATACGACCCGTCGGGGCTTGAGAAGCAGGAAAGAGGCGCAGCTGCTCAGCTCGACTGCCGGGGAGGTGGGAGGGAGGGAAGAGGGAAGGTGAGAGATCGGATTCCAACCTTTTTTTTTTTTTCCCGCGCAGGCGCACACCCTCTGACACTGGTCAGGAAGGCGGTCAGCAGTCTCAAATAGTAAACCGCGCCAAGCTGGACCTCCGTGCAGAGCCCCTGCTGCCTGGGGGCGAGTTGGGGACACGACTATGTGCTACCGGGGGCAGGTGAGGCTGTAAAGGCGGGACGGAGAACCGACTGCCTGCCTGGAAAGCACGACAGGCAAGTGGGGCGTGACTCAGTTCGGGACAAGCGTTATCTGCGGCGCGTGCTGTGCTGGCTTTTAGGGGGGGGGGGGTTCCCGGCCGCTAGCGCTTTGGTTGGTTCTCTCCGCACGCAGGCAGCCGCCCCGAATCTGATGGTTGGCCCTGGGCTGTCCTGGGGTTGCTGCATGGGCCAGAGGGCAGGGGCTTCTGTGGCTGCTGCCGTGTCCCGTCGACGAGCGGAGGAGATACTGAGGAAGCAGGACTCCAATCCGAGCGAGGCACCCGCCGGGCCCAAAAGCCCACGAGAAGGCAGCTTGGGCACCCAGCCTCACGTGATACGTGTCGGCAGGACAGGCAAGGGGAGGCAGCCAAGGCGCCCAAGGGTGGACCCCGAATCCTAGCCGTCAGCTGCAGGCTTTCTCAGCCCCCAATGGGCCTCTTTCTGCCATGGCTGCATGTTGAGACTTTTGGCTGCACAACTGGTGCATGCCGATCACGCCTGGGCCTGTGCTCTCGAGCCTTGTGTTGAGCTCCCTAGATCACACATATCTTGCCATATCAAACACGTCCACACTAGCCCCTGAAGCGGGAAACCGTCACACATCATGGTCAAACAGGCAGGCTAGCGGGGCAGGCAGGCTAGTGGGCAGGCAGGCAGTCAGGCCCACTCGAGACATCAAGCTTCCACTGAGGTCCCGCCCCCGCTGCCGTTGCTGGGCGGCTTCGTATCCGTTTGGCGGCATGGCTCGAGCGCACCATGGACCCGATGGCGTTCAGGACTGGGCGCGGCGGGGAAGGTCCTCCCCCCACTACCAGGATCCGCCAACCGACGCCAAGTCAATCTCGGCCTGGACCTCGAGCCAAATTGGGCAACGGTGATGGGCTGTGTGCCCTCAACATTCTGTCTTGGGAGGCTGTGTGGCTTCTTCAGCTCGGCTCTCAGTCTGCCCTTGTTCCACGGATAATGTAGTGCATCGAGAGGCGATGCCCTATCACGCCACGGGTGCAGACGATACCCGGGTTTGTTTTGTCTTTGAGATCTTGCACGGCTTGGGACTTTGGGGTCTAGCCCACGCGCCAACCTAAGCCCCGTGACATCCCGTCCGACACAAGTAATCCACCGCAGCCAGCGAAACGGCGCTGCACCTCTGTTCGGCTAGGGTACCCAATAAACGTTGATGGTTCCAGGGATCACAAACGTTAGTGCAAGATACATTTTCTTCCTTGGAAAACCAAGCCAAACTGATGTACCACCCAGGATCAACCGTACCAACGTTTGTGATCCCTGGGACCTGGCCAGTCTGTATATTCCATATTTATTCACCTACGGACATGAGCAATTGTCACACGCCAATGTGTCTTTACCGGTACATGTTCTCCGACCACCTCGTTTGGTATTTGAGAAGGGTTCCCCGGGTAGTGGTGGCGATGCCTTTGCCCCCGACAACTGGACACAGTTCCGGTCGCCCAGAATGTTTGTGCCGTAGCATTTGCACCTGGCGGCCGCTCCCTCGCTTTAGCCAAGTTGATGTATTTTCGGGTCGTGGTAATTGAGCTTGCCCGTGCAGACGATGCCTAGCTCGTCACATACTATCAGCTCAAAGAGCCGCTTGCACAGCAGCGGTTTCTCTGGTCAGCCGGGCCGGTCCGCTCATCGGCTCATTCGCGTGGGACAGAATTTGCTTTGGCCTCATCCAACATTTATGATCTTGATCTGCCATGTCCTTCGCCTGCTGGTAGCCTGCCTCATCTGTTTCGGACGAACACAACCACCAACTCAGGCCGCCTTCCCTGTGGTTACTATCCACCAGGTTCGTGGGCCAGCCGCTGGTCGGGCGCAGGGATACGACCCACATACGCCAACCGTGGGCCTTGACGGCAGTTGGCGGAGAGTTTGTTTCCCATCTTCAATGGCGGCCATGGCAGGCACCAACCTCGACAAAAAAACGATCCTCACAGTTTTTTCCCCCCTAACAAACCTTGAATTAGCGGAGGAGGCATGGGAGGAGCAATCCTAGAAAACAATCAACGGGGACGTTGACAAAAATCCTGGATCCATATTCCTGGTCGTGCATTACGTGCCCGCAGGTTGACCACAATGCTATTAATTCGTTCTTTTTTGTGCTTTTTTCGTAAGCTATGGGTTGTTGCTTGTATACCTTACTGGTTGGGACATTAAAAGCAAAAGCCTGGCAAAGCCTGGCAAAGGAGCACGAATTTACTTTCGCTTATCGGCTGTACGCACCAGCCAGCTGGAAAGGTCACCCCGCCCCAGGTCACATAACTAGGGCGTAATACGTATGATACGGGAAGTTCCTTTGTTCAGCAGTCGCCATCCAGAGCCGCCAGCGATCGAGATAGACTTCCCATCTCTTTAGCTGGGGCCGTTGTCCAAGACAGTGGATGAGAAGTGTGATTACGTTGACAAACAGCTTCATGAAAAGCTCCAGGAAGCTCAGCAGTCGCCATCCAGAGCCGCCAGCGATCGAAATAAACTTCCCATCTCTTTAGCTGGGGCCGTTGTCCAAGACAGTGGATGAGAAGTGTGATCACGTTAACAAACAGCTTCATGAAAAGCTCCAGGAAGCAGCAGAAAAGGCTTTTCGGCGTGTTGAGCAGGAACAACTCGATCCTTTCGATGGACTCGTCAGGATCAAGGTGCCGGTGGTGGACTTTACACGACCCGTCGCGGACTGGGGCCACCTAGTCGGCGATTCCAAGGCCATGTTCAAGCACATCATCCGCTCGCATCCTGGCGGCTTCAATCTGCCCAAGTAGCCGGTAGATAAACGCGCGGCCATACTCATCACCACCCGCACCGGCGGTACAGTTGCAACAGGCACGTATCAATAAAGGCCCGGCGTAGCCAGAAGGAGTATGGGGAGGGAGGGGATTCGGAAGGAGTATGGGGAGGGGGG